TGTAGGGATACATGTTATTACATTTGTATACTTTAAGTGTTCAAAAAATCATAGTTGTCATGGCAATAGCCGCCATCTTGTGAAAAAAAAAACAATATGTACTTAGAATCCTAAAATTTAAAAAACAAACATATATATTCAACAATAGATGATGGATTCATGATCTTTTATCCTATTTAAAGCTACAGGTCTTGTTTATTTACTTTAAACATGTTTTTAAATATTTTTCGTAGAATTTTAAAATGTAGGTTTATTGAAAAAGTCAAAAAAATCTAGCATCATAAGACAATAATCAAATTTTAAAAAACAAAAACTTTCTAAAGTCTACTTTTAGATAGACCAGTCCCTATAATATTGTTTACGGAGTATGCATACAAAATTTCACGTTTCTACTCTTTATATTAGTTTAGATTTTAGGATTTCACACACACAGAAAACTGAAATATAGAGATTTGAGAAAACTGACTTTTAAACTTTTTTCTATCTTAAAAAAGTGCACGAGGTGGTGTCGTTAGTATTAACTTTTCATTGCTAAATTGTTTACAAATGACATAAATTTTGTGTGTCATCTATTCTACGAATGCCGAACTTTACAAAAACAAACACATTGAAAAAGTGATATTTTTGTCATAAATTTGAAAAAAATGCCGTGTAGTGATCCCTTAAGCCACTCGGTGTAAGCCACTCTGTGTAAGCCACTCTGTGTAAGCCACCTTGTTTAAGCCACTCGGTGTAAGCCCCTCAATGTAAGCCACTCTGTGTAAGCCACTCTGTGCACAGAACTCCAGATTCTTCAAGTCCACGACACAATGGTTGGTTACTTGCTTGCAGTTCTGGTAACAGAGAAGTTTTAATTTGATACTACCTGCACATTCCTAGACGAGAAAGAGAATTCTTAAAAGTTATATAAATCCTATATTAATATACAGATGTGAACCATGGATAGTTAGTGAATTAGTTTAAACTTATTTGTAAGCTGCGGAGCTTTGGTTTTATAGACAAAAAATGAGAATACCCTGGACAGATAAAAAGAGTAATGAAGACGTCTTGAAAGAAACTGACTCACAAAGAGAACTTATTGCCTAAATCAGAAGAGACAATCTGCATTCTTTGGTCCTGTGATGAGAAGAAGAAAACTGGAGTACATCGTGAGAGTAGGAACATAGGGGAGGAGAGGCAGAGGGAGACCAAGAGAACAGATGCTGGACAGTTTGACATTATGGCATGGAAGATCATCTGTGTCAGAGTTGACTGAAAGTACACGAGACAGAAGGTTGTGGGTAGCCATGACTACCAACCATACACGGCACGTACTTTAGGAAGAAGATCACATTCCTAGCAGAATAAACTAAGGCTAGGAGATGTTAACCTGCAATGAAGCTGAGGCCAGGAGATGTTAACCTGCAATGAAGCTGAGGCCAGGAGATGTTAACCTGCAATAAAGCTGAGGCCATGGGAAATGTTAACCTGCAATGAAGCTGAGGCCATGGGAAATGTTAACCTGCAATAAAGCTGAGGCCAGGAGATGTTAACCTGCAATGAAGCTGAGGCCAGGAGATGTTAACCTGCAATAAAGCTAAGGCCAGGAGATGTTAACCTGCAATGAAGCTGAGGCCAGGAGATGTTAACCTGCAATGAAGCTGAGGCCAGAAGATGTTAACCTGCAATAAAGCTGAGGCCAGGAGATGTTAACCTGCAATGAAGCTGAGGCCAGAATTGTACTTTTACTAAATTAATCATTTTGTTATTATTTTTCAGCTCCAAGAGAAGTAACAACTTGAGAGCATTGAGAATGGAGAGTGGTTTGAGGTATGAGCCAGGTAAGTGTCCAGGACCATGCTGAAACAGTTTCTGAACAGGAAGAGCTCACACTAACAATATTTCAGGTTGCCAGCAGTTGTTGTAACTTGAAAATCAGTGTCATGTCATAGTTAGTTCACATACCTACCTTTTCCAGTCTGTAGTTTGTTCTCCAAGTCTATGTTTGTCTTTGATATCTGATTCTCACAGTCTTGGATCTTTTCTGTGAAGTAATAGTGACAAATTGTGACATTAACCATATCACACAGTTTGCTTCTTCTTCTTTTCATTTCCCTGTCAATGGTTTTTAGATGAGATTCCAATTCCAGTTGATTAACAACAATTCCAAACTTGATCCTTTTTCAGCTGCCCAGAGGTCTGCTATATGAAGGAAGGTTCCTTAGCTGTCTTATTTGATTTTCTATTCTTTGTGGCGTGGAGTCACACCTAAAATTCCTGTTCTCTGTCTTCCTAAGTCCGGTGTGGTACTTGGGGCTCTGGGTCCGGTCTGGTCCAGCTCTCTTAGCTTCTATTTCTGTGGGTTTTAGCTGACTGTTGCTGGTGCTTGGTTTAACTCTTGCTGGTCGCTGCGCTGGTGCCCTATTGCCTGCTGGGTGACCGCTCTGTAAAGCTGCAGGAAAAAGCCAAACAAACACCTCGTAGCACCGTCTCCAACAATGTTCCTTTTCAGGACAACCAGGGCCATCACATTCTGTTGTGATCAGCCCGTTCCCCCTCCCCCTCCCCCCTTCACAGAGTGTGGAGAATTAGTGGAGTTAAAATAGACTGCAAAAGAGAGAACTAATTGTTCAAATGTGCCAGGAGATTTAATAGTGAGGTCAGAAGAATGAGAGGGACAGATAGCTTGAGAGAGATGGGTTCCGACGCTAGTACTTCTGGTGGGTTGAGGTTCCCTGGTCTGAAATAAGACTGAAAGGCATTGTTAAAATACATGTGGTGTGGGGGTAGGGTGGCGTAAAAGAGACTGGAATCTCCGAGTGCTGTTCCCCTTTAGTGCAATGCCCTTTGACTTACTGTTACTTATGATCATGGAACTATTATTGATTATCTTGTTGAATTGTTATTTTGAGTTTAAAATCAACATAGTACTTGAGACAGGCTTCCAGCAGTTCCACTTCCGATGGTTCTAGTAGCAGTCTGTCTGTAAATCCATCTTGTCTTTCTTCTGGGTGCCGAGTGTTGGCCAGATCACCTAGACACTCCCTACTGAACCATGCTTTTCAGAGCAGGGTGATCTGTTTGTGCTTCCACACGGTTCACTTGCTCCTAGAGGGACTTGATAATATCTAGCTTGTCATGCATCATTTTACCTCACAGTGGCCCAGAAGTAGCCAATCTGTCTGCCTGTTTGTTTGCCACCACACCTATTGTCCTTATCTTGTTAAAACAAAAATTGCAGTATTGTACACAAAATATCATTCAAACTATCCCTTGTATCTCTTGTCAACCTTATGACAGATGGACTTGCATGTCTCCAGAACTATGCACATGCTAGTGTGGCTACAGGTAGGGTTCCTCCTATTAGACAGGTAAATGAGTAGGGATGAGAGATGCAAATTGTCTTGTAGATAAACTAGGAACAAACAACAATTAGAAGGCAAACCTCTAAAACCTTTTCCCTGTGAATGAGCTCCACCACAGGCTGAATAAAGTAGTGCAATCTCACATTAGTTATGTGTATTGAAAAGTGTGCAATATCTCACATTAGTTATGTGTATTGAAAAGTGTGCAATATCTCACATTAGTTATGTGTATTGAAAAGTGTGCAATATCTCACATTAGTTATGTGTATTGAAAAGTGTGCAATATCTCACATTAGTTATGTGTATTGAAAAGTGTGCAATATCTCACATTAGTTATGTGTATTGAAAAGTGTGCAATATCTCACATTAGTTTTGTGTATTGAAAAGTGTGCAATATCTCACATTAGTTATGTGTATTGAAAAGTGTGCAATATCTCACATTAGTTATGTGTATTGAAAAGTGTGCAATATCTCACATTAGTTATGTGTATTGAAAAGTGTGCAATATCTCACATTAGTTATGTGTATTGAAAAGTGTGCAATATCTCACATTAGTTTTGTGTATTGAAAAGTGTGCAATATCTCACATTAGTTATGTGTATTGAAAAGTGTGCAATATCCCACATTAGTTATGTATATTGAAAAGTGTGCAGTGTTGAAGAAATGAGAAAATGTGTAATGTGTTAATAATATTGTTAAATTTTTTTCAGAGAAATTTATTTATGACCCTGGAGATGTCAATGTGCACCAATTCTATCCAGTTTTGGAATGTACTTTCACCAAACAGCTGGCTACCTTTGACCAAGAGTCACTCCGTCCATTGCCAGATAATTCAGGCCTCACAAACATTATTGACGAATCTGCAATAAATATTTCACAGGCAGGTATACTTTAATTGTAAAGCACAATGCATTTTTAAAAATAGGTCCCAATGAAATCAGCTTCATTTTTGTACTAACATAATTTAGACCATATGTTTTAAGCCTGGCAGTTTTTGTTTAAAAAAAAATATTCGGATAAAAATGAACATTTGTTTTTAAACAATCCCAAAAGTGTATTCTCTAGGCTTCCAGTAATTGATTCTGTCAAATTAAAAGTGAAAACACCAGTAAAAACATTAAAGAATTATTTTTAAAGAACAACATCATCATCATCCAGTAGCTTGTTTTATACAGAACTTTTCCCATGATAACTGTCTTGAAATTTCTCTCTGTTGTAAACCAAATATTGTACCTCTTTGGCTGTCAGATCAGAGTTTCTTCTCCTATTAATTTCAGTATACCCCAGACAGAGACACACACACACACAGAGAAATACAGACATAAATAAATGCCCTGTGAGCCACAGTGATGCAGTAGTTAGCGTGCTTGCTTGCCTGCCCCATGGCCACGAGTGTGAATCTTCTTCAGGAGGGGAATTTACAAAATTAGCCAGGTTGCTTGGTTGCCAGGTTGCCAGGCTGATGAGGCTTTACAACTGGTAGAAAATATTCTGGCCAGAGAACCCGGCTGATGTGATGCTAAATGCATGAAAGGCTTGCTATTTTTTGCAATATAAGTCTGGCATATAAGGATGAATTACATAACCTGTGGGCCCAGACCAGTCTCATTCAATAAACATTTAGTAAATATATGAAACATTTCATCTTATTTAAAGAGTCTGCCTGGCCATGAAAAACAAGATGATGATAATGATAAAGATGACGTGATAGAAGAAGAACAGCTGAAGAGAAAAACAAAGAATGCCATTACTTGCACAGAAAGTGGAGCAGAATATGCCTTCCATCCAGAAAAGGATGCATCAGGTTTTCAAGTAAGGAAGTTGTTTTGTTTACTAGAGTTTTCAGTGTGTAGTTCTCATGTCTGTCCCCCCCCCCCCCCCCTCTCTTGATTGCTATCTGAAGGTTTAGTCACCCCTGTGACTTTAAGATTTATATTCTAAATGGCAGACCAAACGGGCAATACCAGGTATGCAAATCATTTCCCAAGGAGCTACAATTAGGACAATTGAAAATACTACATGTACACTGCAGTCTTGTTTGGGTAAGGATAAGAATCATTTGTCTTATCCTTTTGTCCTAAATATTATTGAATGGGACAGTGTCACTAAGTAATTGACTGCCAACTACAGTGTCACTAAATAATTGACTGCCAACTACAGTGTCACTAAGTAATTGACTGCCAACTACAGTATCACTAAATAATTGACTGCCAACTACAGTGTCACTAAATAATTGACTGCCAACAACAGTGTCACTAAATAATTGACTGCCAACAACAGTGTCACTAAGTAATTGACTGCCAACGATAGTGTCACTAAGTAATTGACAGCCAACTACAGTGTCACTAAGTGATTGACTGCCAACAACAGTGCCACTAAGTAATTGACTACCAACAACAGTGCCACTAAGTAATTGAGTGCCAACAACAGTTTCACTAAGTAATTGACTGCCAACAACAGTGCCACTAAGTAATTGAGTGCCAACAACAGTTTCACTAAGTAATTGACTACCAACATCAGTGCCACTAAGTAATTGACTACCAACATCAGTGCAAGAAATATCCTCTTAGTAATTGTCACATCACCAGTCTAAGTCTACTAGCTCCTGCTGACTGTTAAATCACTTAACCGGCTACATCATCAGCATGTTGCAGGTCCATTGCATGGTGTCATCTTAAAGAAACTTGACCTCTCCCCAGATTTGCTGCCCGTGCGCTTTCCTACCCAAGATGTCTTATATATCCTGTGCCCCTCTTTGTGCTGGTCGGCACCTGCCCCTCTTTCCTGGGATCATGCTTTCTATTATTATTCTTTTCATTTCGCTTTGGTGCTTAATGTTGACAAAATATTGTAGTCTCCAAAACAGTGTGCTTTTCACTAGCCAATTTTTCTTGCTTTTCAGATCTTTTAGGGTGGCAGTATTTCTTGTCTTCTTTGTCCGTGGTATTTTCAGAATTATTCTATAACATTTCAGCTCAAATTCTCCTATTTTACTTTATCAAGTATGATAGAGGGAGATACTTACACGGTCTTACTACAAGACAAGTTGCACAGAGTTATTTCTTTTACTAAAAAAATGAGAAAGGGATCCTCTTTATGCCTGTGGTGCTTCAGGCATAATAGACAAAACCTGTATTTTTATAGAACAATCAGCACAATGGGAAATGGGGTCGGCACAATTCCGGTTGCCTTTACTTCCCAGGACTTTAAACTTTAGACCTTCGTGCCAGCAGGTTAACGTTCCACCTGCTATGCCACAACCGCTTCCCTGCTTTTGGAAATTACCTGTGAAATATAATTCAGTGCTTTTTGTTTGTTTGCTACCAGCAACATGACGAGCAGACAACATACTGATGTAGTGTCATCTTAACAGCAAATAACTTGCCTTCTTGTTACCTTCTTCTTTTCTCTACTTCTGGAATGCTTTGCACCGTCAAGGCAGAACAGGATCTCTGGATTAGGCCTCTCTGTTCACTTCATATAAAGCACACTTCAGTGTCTCTGATATTTCCACAGTCCATGTTCTGCATGGTTGACCTCTGGCTCTGTTACCGCTGTATCTATATAACAGTGCACGCTGTGGTGCCCTGTCTGTTGCCAATCTTGTTACATGGCCAAACCATTCAGCTTATTGTCTACAGATAAAGTTCAGCACTACTAACTCTCCTCCTGATATGTTGTCCCTAAGTTGATCTTTCCTCATTACACCTAGCATAGTATGTAAACATATAATTTCTATCGTGACTATTTTTCTCATGTCTTCCAAAGACAATATCCATACTTGACACTGATAGCATAATGTTGGTAAGAATATTGTGTTGAACGGTGTTCATTTAGCGTTCATATTCAGATGCTCTCATTTCAGTATTGATGCCATTTGTCCTATAACTTGATTGGCTTTATCGCGTCTGTGCTGTATTTCTATATTCATTTTTCTATGTCTGAGAAAATGCTTTCTAGATATTTAAAGTCCTTCGTTTGCTTTAACTGATGTTCATCAATGTTGATGTTGATGATTTTCCCTTTTCTGGTGAAAGTTATCACTTCTATTTTGTCTAGATTGATTTTAAAATTATAGTCTTCACATGATGGGTAGAGTTTATGAATATATCTCTTGTAGCTGTTCTTCTGTTGGCGCTGTGATTGCCTGATTGTCCGTGAAAGCAATTCATTAAGTAATTGCCAGATGTTGCCCCCTTGTCTCAATGGGAAAAGACACTAGTGTAGTCTACAGCAGTTCTATATTTGTGTACACCAAGATGAATCTCTAAACAGATGTAGACTCTAGACTTTACTAAAAGGCAAAGAACAATCTTTTTTATGCCGTTTGCACAATGAGCAGATAGTGCTAGAAATATATTTATTTAGACCAGTCAGCACTCGAATAGGTAATGCAGTCACCATCATACCTGCCATCTTTATTTCTGAGGACTTTACCTAGTACCCATTTTAAGCTTGGTCGACCTGAGAGCCAAGACAAGTTACAACAAAAATTTCAGGCTCAGTGCATATTTTAACCTGCAACTTTTGGGCCTGAGGTGTGTGCTCTAGCCGCTTTACCACAGTGGCTCCCTTGAGTAAATATTGCTAGAACTAGATTTAATTAGACCAGTCTGCACTCGAAAGTTCAACATCATGCTAGCCGCCTTTACTTTCCAAGACATTTTCTGGTACCCATTGTAGGCTGTGTCAGCGTGGGAACCAAAGGCAATTTTCTGCACTGTAAACATTGGAGGAAACAGCTTCTGAAAGAATCCACTGAAACCAATGCCTGGCTAGATGACTAGTGACTCCCTGCTCATTGAGGGCACCAACCTCAAGTCACAGGTCACAGGTGACTGGAGGAGATTCTTACATTAAATACAAAGAAATTAGCAATTTTATAAGCATGAATACTGTTTCATCCATGTATAAGTAAGAAAAACAGAGATACAATAAACAATTGAATTAATTATCCAGGGTCAGTTTTAACATCTCAAGGAAGAGTGGATATAGAGATCAGCCTACGATGTGTAAAAGCCAATCAGCTACTGGGACATTTCAGGATAACTGATTCATTTCCCTGTGGGTATCGAAAGAGTGGCTCAGCATGTGAACAATGGCTGAAGGGAATTACAGTCCCTAGGGACCTTAATGTATGAGATACTTAAAGAGTGGTTCTCTTGGCGTTTATATTTTGGGTAATTAGGTAATCACAGTTCCGACTTCCCAGTAAATGGGTTGCCCCCATAGTTGCTCCGCTCCTGTGCCAACAAAAAACACACAGAATGTCCATCAGTGTCCCTTGTGTAAACAATCGACAGACTGCAGTCTTAGCAAATCCTAACAGCACACACACACATTCTCTCTCTCTCTCTCTCTCTCTCTCTCTCTCTCTCTCTCTCTCTCTCTCTCTCTCTCTCTCTCTCTCTCTCTTTCTCTAAATGCATAGGGCAGTCATCAGAACTGCCAACAAAAACAGTCTGACAATAAAGAGCAGTTCATCATCAGTGGCAGCAGCAGTTACAACAGATCAGTAGTTGCACATGCAATTAATCGCATAAGGCATCATAAGTTCTCTAGAAGTAGGCCACTCACCCTTTTTTGAATCTGCATTTCACAACACAAATCACATTTGGCACGTTAAAAAAAGCATTTCAAATAAAATCGCTCACAGTGTCATGCCATGCACTGAGGTCAGGAGATGATTAAACTTCACCTGGATTTCACAAGATGAGATGAGATAAATTTCTTAAAATACAAAATTTATTTTGTAAAATTTTGTTTGTGACAAATACTGTTTGTGACAAATACTGTTTGTGACAAATACTGTAAACATTGTGTTTTCAGAATGTGTTTGCTACCGCTGTCACTGAAGAATCACTAGAGGCTGCCAGGTTGAGAAGTCAGCTAATCTTTTTCTCTGGAGATTGGAACAGTGGCAGACATCAGCGAGAGGATGAACATACAAGGATTGTGGCCAGGAAAGCTAGTGAACAGTCAGTGTAACTTTTGGCTAAATTTGTTTGTCTGTATCTTTCTTATACTTTAACCACATGATAATATCTGCTGAATTACTTTTCTGCTTTTATACCTTCCAGCTTGCACAGGATCTCTTTTATCATTCTTTTGGGGAGTAGGGGGGGGGGGGGGGGGGGAGGGGGGGGGGGGGGGGGGGGGGGTCACTGGTTAGTTTAGACTACTCTGAGAAAGGTATGATGTGCACGCAAGTCTTCTTTATTTCTAGCTGTTATCTGAGAAGGCTGTATATCCACTCAGATACCCCCAGGATCAGCTGGGAGTTAACCAGTCTCAGATATCTTATTTTTTCGTGGAGGAGGGAAGGGGGGTGAGGAGACTTTAATCCCATCAGGGTTTGAGGAAGATATCATACCTCTCAGTCATGCAATTCTCTAACAACTGCTACTACCGCCATTACTACTAATACAACTACTACTGCTGCTGCTACTATTACTGTGGCTGCTATTTCTTCTAGTAAAAAGTTAGTAGCGAATCCTTTAAAGCATGTTGCAGAACCAACTCCAGCATTTTTGGCTGTGTGTGGTTTCACTAGCCAGTTTTACACTCTTTGTGATTTCACTAGGTAATTTTATGTTTGATAGTTTGCCATTGCATTCTGAATGATCAGCCGTCAATACCTCTGTAGAAACCAACACAAGGCAGTCTGCTGTCAAATCACACACAGCTGGGTTCAAACCCGGCACTTGCAATTAGGAAGCTTTTTTGTAACGTCTAAGCCACACATGCTGTCACTCCTACTTCTTATATTATTATTGCTGCAGAAAATAAACTACTCTCCATCCCCAGTTATCAGCAGGCACTGAGACTGAAGGAAGAGAGGAACCCAGTGGGTAGCATCTCTTGTCTGACCAAGGCTATCAACCTGACACCCAGTGATCCCGTCTTGTACGCTGAGAGGGGGGAGGCATACCTGTCTCTGTGTGACTTCCAGGTCTGTTTGAGTCTTTTATCTAGCCTCACCCGGATGATGTCATATTTCAAATTTAATGTTAATTATATCGTTGTGTTAAAGTTTGGGGCAAAAATAAAATCCTTAACTGCACAGTCCTTGGTGACAGCACTAGCTGTGCGACCCAAAATCATAAGGCTCAAAGAACCCACTGTCTACACTGCACAGAGGTGATTACAGGCAATGGCTGTTGGAGTTTTAGACTTACATTCGTTGGCCATGGCGGTGTGGTTCAAAGTTTATTTACAATAGCCTGAATGTTCTCGATCCATTGGTCTCCATTTGGTTCCAAATCCAGCCCATTTATGCTTGTATGCAGTTATACTTAGTTGATGAGGTTTCATTCTCATAAGATGTCTAACTTACTTGAAATGTTGCATCTTGATGAAATCTGTTCACCAACAAATGTTAAATGCTGTTGTTGAAATTTTGTGGAAAACCACATCATTTTTTCACAAGCATTTTATTTCACATGTGACAGATTTTCTCTGAATAGATATGTTGATAGAGATCACATGTTACATTCTTAACGTAATCTGGAAGACAAAGATTGTTTAAAAGTCATATCTTGTCATTATCTTCAGATGTCTGAGTAAAGGTCACAGCTGGTAAGTCGCAGAATTTGCCTTTTGGCATCTTGTTTCTACCTCCATGATTATGCTGCTGTCCTCTGTAAAAATCCTACCTAGATATTTGAATTAAACTGTCTTAAATGTTTTGCTTTGATATTGTTAATTTGTATATTGCTTGCTACTTCTGGTGACTTACCGAGTTTCTTTGTTAGAATATTGTTAATTTTCATACTTTATTTTTAACATGTTAAGGCTAGTTGAATCCTTTGCAATGTTTTTTAAAATGGATTTTATAATGGTTTGTTAATCGTAATCATCATGTAGCAGGTCCTTTGCAGAACGTCACTCTCATCTTGGTCTAAGAAATTCGGTCTCTCGCCCACCCACCTGCCTTGTGCACTTTCATATTCAAGGAGTCACCTATATCCTGCACCCATCTTCTCGTTCATCGACCTCTGCCCCTGCCCCTCCTTCCTGGTACCATACCTTCTGCTATTATTTTTTCCCAATCCACTATGGTGCTTAATAAGACCAAAATATTTCAGCTTCTGATACAAGAAACAGTTTAAAGGCCAGTCTTCCTTGATGTTCAGATCTTTTATAATATCAGTATTTCTTCTCTTTTTTTTTAAAAATCCATTGTATTCTGATAATCTTTCTATAACATTTCAGTTCAAAAGCCGCTATTTTCTTTCTTATGGACTGGGAGATAGTCCACAACCCATATTCATATGTTCCTGCAGGAAATATTTGGTTTTTAATGTTATGTTTAATGTCACTTTTATATATGTATATTTTTTAATATGGAATTTTGATATAATTGTAATAATATTAGGTTTTTTTTAAATGTTGTATTTGCTTCAGTTATTTTCCCACTTTTCTTTTGTAGGCACAAAATTGTAACACTTGTAAAAAAATTTTTATTTTTAAAGTTTATTTTAGTCTTTTTTCTTGATGGTGATCATGAGAGTGTTTGTGTCTGTTCTTCTTATGTGTCTATTTCCCGTTGAAATATACAGGAATATACTTTAGTGTCTTGATATTACCCACAGTCTGCCATACTCAACTATAGGAAAGCCTGCCTCCTAACGACTACAGACAAAGAAGCCTACGATTCAAGACTAGCCTTTATTTACTATTTTCAAGGCCAGACTCTGTTTGACCAAAGGCTTTTCCCAGAGGCTTTAGAAGTTTTCTCCAAGGCTGCAGAGATGGTGCCAGGAAATGGTGGTTACCAGATGAGAATGTAAGTCGTTGTTTTGATTGGTTAGCAAGCAAATTCAGGTTGGCTGTTAGGAAATATTTTTATTTAAAAAAAACACATTTAGGTTGATTGCTAGATTTAATTCAGAGGTAATTTGATTCTGATCTCCTTTTTTTTCTGACTCTTGTCATCCTAGCTTGATAATTTACAGTATAGTGAGGTATTTTCACTTTTAAAATCCTGTTTTGGGAGATCAAACATTGTCTGATAATTCCCTGCATTATCTAGATTAATATTTTCTATCCTCGCATGAGTTCTTGGTTACATTTTGGAGAACAAAAAATAGATCCACTGTCCCCTTAACAAGCATGTCATAAGAGGCAACTAATTTGGGGTGTTTCCTGTCAAGTTGGACAGGCAAGGAACTAGCAGTCTGCATACAAGTAAATTAGATCTGTAAAATGGATGTGCATGCAAAACTGAAGTTCTGGATGATGACCAAAGTCCAGGAATGGACAAAAACTAGAATCTTCCACTGGAGCTTACAGCTGGTGAATGCTAAGAAAAGGAATATTTGCTAATGTTTTTCTCACTTTCTTATCCTTCTCTCTTTCATATCTCTATGTACTGGCCTTTAACCACTCACAGTGAGCTCGATCTGGCCTTGTTCGTGATTGGCTGGATTTAGCTGCTGTAGTTTTCTACAAGATAAGTAACAACCAGTCTTAACAACCCACCCACCCATTTAATTACCTTTGATGACACACATTTCATGTTTTTGTTTTAACTCCTACACCTCATACTAATCTTAAAAAAATTATCATTTTCGTAATGTTGATAAAAAGAAACACATTGTTATAACACATCATTATAATTCTTTGAAATTCTGACCAAAGAAACTAGAGGAAGGGAAGAAGAAGCAGAAGAAATTTAGAGTCTTGGTCAATGTTTGTAAAAATCCAGGGGTTGTACCCTATGACCACTGCGCAGACAGGCAAGCTTAATGATCACAGCAAAATCACGACCATCAAATCACAGTTAACATTAATCTTTTTTATTAAATTTTATAAGCAAAATTTTTTTTTAATTAAGCGAATTAGTCACGCAAAACACATGGAGTAAAGAATAAAATGCTTTTTTTCCATTTGACCCTGATAAATGTGATATTTAAAAAAGAAATGTGTGTGTGTGTTTGTGGTAAATATAATCATGCCCACCGTGTCGTCACACTATGTAGTTGCAGCCAGTACCACAACTATTGTACAGGCATAGTGTCCACTGCCCAGAGACTTATTGCTGTCACCAACCTGTAAATCCCATAAAAATGGTTCTCTTGGGACAATTGAGTTAAAATTGTTTTGCTCCATTAAAGTTCTTCCATTCATGAGTTGTTCAGTGGAACTAGCAAAGACAGTGTATTTTGTGTGTTTTATAAATTCATTTCTTTGTGTTTGATTATATGTTGATTATGTTGAGTTAACTAACTGTAGTCATATACCTGACGCGATATACCAATCAATAAGTTGTGCAATGTATTACATGTGCCTGCATTTTTCAAAAGGTTATCTCATGTATATAATGTGGGAAAATGACAGTGGTGTAGTGGCTAACATACTTGTCTAACAGCCTTGTGATCATCAATTTGAACACCCATCGAGATGACAATTAAAAAAAATTAATTAGCAAAATACCTGGATTATTACTTTTTGTTTTGTTTTTTTGTTCTGAGAAAGATAGTCAGATTTATTGGTTTTTATCTCAGGCAGTAGAGTGGTAAGGCATTCCATATAAATATTGAAAGTGTCTTTTCATAGCTGACAGGGGTTGACAATGCCAGGCTCTTGTGTGAGAGACCCAGGTTCGATTAGAGGATGGATTTTCTCAGCTGGGGACAAAAGTAATATCCTAACTGCACAGTGTGTGGTGACAGCACTAGTTAAGAGCCTTAATTCCTCAGGCTCAAGACCCCTCCACCTAATCCTACACCCAGTCCTACACCCAACCCTCCACCCAACCCTCCACCCAACCCTCCACCCAACCCTCCACCCAACCCTCCACCCAATCCTCCACCCAACCCTCCACCTAATCCTCCACCCAACCCTCCACCTAATCCTCCACCCAATCCTCCACCCAACCCTCCACCCAACCCTCCACCCAACCCTCCACCCAATCCTACACCCAACCCTCCACCCAATCCTCCACCCAACCCTCCACCCAATTCTACACCCAACCCTCCACCCAATTCTACACCCAACCCTCCACCCAATTCTACACCCAACCCTCCACCCAACCCTCCACCCAACCCTCCACCCAACCCTCCACCCAACCCTACACCCAACCCTCCACCCAACCCTCCACCCAACCCTACACCCAATCCTACACCCAATCCTACACCCAACCCTCCACCCAACCCTCCACCCAATCCTCCACCCAATCCTACACCCAACCTCCACCCAACCCTACACCCAACCCTCCACCCAACCCTACACCAAATCCTACACCCAACCCTCCACCCAACCCTCCACCCAACCCTCCACCCAATCCTACACCAAACCTTCCACCCAACCCTCCACCCAACCCTCCACCCAACCCTCCACCCAACCCTCCACCCAACCCTCCACCCAACCCTCCACCCAAACCCTCCACCCAATCCTTCCACCAAACCTTCCACCCAACCTTCCACCCAACCCTCCACCCAATCCTCCACCCAATCCTCCACCCAACCCTCTACCCAACCCTCCACCCAATCCTACACCCAATCCTACACCCCGCTAAAAAGTGATAAATACTGGTAGTAAATATTTTTTTTTTAAATAGCTGCAAATATTTTGTATTTAATATTGTATTGTTGATGAAAAACATGTCTATTGTGATTATGTATTCAATTCTGACAGTACGAAATGTCTATTGTGATTATATATTCAATTCTGACAATATCACATGTTTATTGTGATTATATATTTGATTCTGACAGTATCACATGTCTAGTGGCACTACAGAGACATCATGAGTGTCTGACCTTGGTGAACCAGAGGTTACAGGAAGACAAGAACAACCCTGACCTCTACATAGTGAGGGCACGTCTGCATGAAATATTTGCAAATGTAGGTGTCATGCTGGTTTATCCATCCAGTATTTAGTTACCTTGTACTCTGTGAGTTTAGACAACAATAGATTATCATAGTCTGAAGAGAATGGTGCAAAGGGAAAAAGGGGGGGGGGGGGTAAAGACCAGGGGATATGGATGCCACGGAAAAGGCAAAATGGTCGTGGAATTAGACTACTACTGTTACCATATAGGAATTAAAGCTATGCAAGGGCTGCTGAAGATGGGATGGATAGTTAAAAAAATAAGGAAAGTAACAATTCCTTTTCAGGCCTTTAGGCGCATCGGCCATATTGGAAGAGCAACCATATTTTTACACACCAATGGGAATGGATAGCTTAATGTGAATTTCCCGAGTGTAGTATGTCGGTTACTAACTCAATCAACTCAAGGCACCTTCTTGTCTAGGTTCTGAGGCTCTGTTTTGTGGAACCAAGAACAGACCCACTGCGCCCCCCCCCCCTCAACGCCCCCCCCCTCCAACAAGCTTGTCCTAGGAGGTAGCTAATAAGGAGTGTTTCTTTTATAAGTTATTGTGCATATACCTCAGAGGCAGAAAACCAGCAGTCTGCATACAAATAAGGCAGATGTGTAAGATGGATATGAATGAAGAATTGAATTTCTGGAACAAGGAGCGGACCATATTATACAGACCAATAATCTACACTCTATAGGGGGATGGCTAAACATCAACTCTATAGGGGGATGGCTAAACATCAACTCTATAGGGGGATGGCTAAACATCAACTCTATAGGGGGATGGCTAAACATCAGCTCTATAGGTGGATGGCTAAACATCAACTCTATAGGGGGATGGCTAAACATCAACTCTATAGGTAGATGGCTAAACATCAACTCTATAGGGGGATAGCTTAACATCAACTCTATAGGGGGATGGCTAAACATCAACTGTATAGGGGAATGGCTAAACATCAACTCTATAGGGGGATGGCTAAACATCAACTCTATAGGGGGATGGCTCAACATCAACTCCATAGGGGGATGGCTAAACATCAACTCTATAGGGGGATGGCTAAACATCAACTCTATAGGGGATGGCTAAACATCAACTCTATAGGGGGATGGCTAAACATCAACTCTGTAGGGGGATGGCTAAACATCAACTCTATAGGGGGATGGCTAAACATCAACTCTATAGGGGGATGGCTAAACATCAACTCTATAGGGGGATGGCTAAATATCAACTCTATAGGGGGATGGCTAAACATCAACTCTATAGGGGGATGGCTAAACAGCAGCTCTATAGGGGGATGGCTAAACATCAACTCTATAGGGGGATGGATCAACATCAACTCTATAGGGGGATGGCTCAACATCAACTCTATAGGGGGATGGCTAAACATCAACTCTATAGGGGGATGGCTAAACATCAGCTCTATAGGGGGATGGATCAACATCAACTCTATAGGGGATTGATCAACATCAACTCTATAGGGGGATGGCTAAACATCAACTCTATAGGGGGATGGCTAAACATCAACTCTATAGGGGGATGGCTAAACATCAACTCTATAGGGGGATGGATCAACATCAACTCTATAGGGGGATGGCTAAACATCAACTCTATAGGGGGATGGATCAACATCAACTCTATAACATCATGCCAGCATCTTTGTTTAACCATAAGATTTCCTTGCACGCATTTTAGGCTGAGTCAGCTTGTGAATCCTGGTCAGCAATTAAAAAGCCTCAAAGTGGATTTGAACCCAAGAACTTTGGCCATCATGCAAGCATCTAACCACTGTGCTACTATATTTCCCTTCAGTCTCAGACTCCAGACACAATCATCATCATGCAGTCACTAATAAAAACTTTGTTCTTTGTGAATAACATGGTTTGTGATGAGGATTGTGGATTCAGACAATGGCATGTAGCCTGTTGTTAAAGAAATGGTGGTGTCTTATTCAATTAAAGTCATTTGCAACTATTGATCTATTTAACTGCTGCTTCCATTGACAATAAACTTCATTTCTAGTGATGAACTGTTTGTGTTGGCATTTCTGATGGCTGCCTTATACATTTATTGTGTGTATGTATACTATTGACTTTGCTGAGACTATGGACTGTACATTTTTTCACAAGGGACATACAATGTGGTTTTCGCAGACACAGGAACAGAGTAACTATGGGCTGACCCATTTGCTGTGAAGTGGGACTAAGATTACCTGACTACCAGAATAAATTTAGTGTCGAGAGTTTGTGTCTGTTTTCTTTTTATCTTTTTAACAAGATTGTGAATCTGTTTTGCAGTTGAGTCCACGCTATTATGATGTAAGAAATGCACTGTCGCTTAACCCAGACCACCAGGAAGGACAGGCCATGATGGACACTATTGTTAAGGCAGCGGATGATAACAAAAACCTGGCCTTGCATTTGAGCATTATGGGAAAAGACAAACAGGCATTACAGAAGATATCACTGGCTATTCAGATGAACCCTTCCGTGGCTGAATACCATGTTCTGAGGTAAGTGTAGGCAGAATAATGCTTATTGTTCTTTCTTGTTTAGTTCTTCTTTAGCATACCAAGCCCTTGAAGTTTGTTGCTGCGGATATCAAGATATTCATTCATCTTTGTGATTGGCCCTGTTTTTCCAGTTGCTGACTTCAAATGTTTGTAGATTAGCCTGTATATTATCTCTCCACTTTTTTATTGATCTGCCCCCTGGTCTACTCCCATTCAACTCTTGTGTGTTTGCACCTGTTTTATCTCTCTGTTATCTGCCATTCTATCTAAATGCCCCAACCATTGTACTCTGTTAGCCTTGATGATTTCAGTAAATGTAATTTAAAACGACTATCAACTGTGTTACTACTTCTCACTGTGAATTCTCTGCTGTTTGCATCTTTGATAGCTTCAGAGATTCTTTAAAAGATGGGTTTCTCAACAGTTTGTTGTTAGGTTTTGTCTCTGTTAGATATATTCCAGGTGTCAGAGCCACAGAGGACAGTTAGTGTATATCAGTTGTCAGAGCCACAGAGGACAGTTAGTGTATATCAGTTGTCAGAGCCACAGAGGACAGTTAGTGTATATCAGTTGTCAGAGCCACAGAGGACAGTTAGTGTATACCAGTTGTCAGAGCCACAGAGGACAGTTAGTGTATATCAGTTGTCAGAGCCACAGAGGACAGTTAGTGTATATCAGTTGTCAGAGCCACAGAGGACAGTTAGTGTATATCGGTTGTCAGAGCCACAGAGGACAGTTAGTGTATACCAGTTGTCAGAGCCACAGAGGACAGTTAGTGTATACCAGTTGTCAGAGCCACAGAGGACAGTTAGTGTATATCCTGTTTGGGAGTTATGAGATGCTCTGATTAGCATGTTTGCGGGCAGGATTAATGATCATAGTTAGTATCTCCATGGAGACAAATGTTTGAAAATAACCCAACCTCCCAGACTGACTCAGGACTGACTGACTCACACTGACAACCAAAAAATTGTCTTTTATTCCAATTCCCTTCCTGATTTTCCTCCCCCAAGAAACATAGTCCATGGCATTTCGTATCTGCTGCCTCTGAGTTTGTTTCCAAGACCAGTTAAGGCCAGGGATGAAGTTCCTTCCTTCCATAGCACAAAGCCTGGGCAGTATTGTAGAGGTCATGTGTTGCCTATGCATCATGATAGCTTGCCTGGCCTGCCTTGTTTTCTTTAAAGGAAAGGTAACACTATTACATTGAGGGAGGGGGGGGGGGTTCAGATAAGTACAACTGGTGTATTACTGGCCACATCATTAATTTAATTTAATTTATTTTGTGAAACCATAAACAGCCAGTAACAACAACAAAGCTGGAGTTAGATCAGCGATGTCCTGTAAAGGATACACAGCTAGCTTTTACCACAGTGAGATGGAAAGCAGCATTTACAAATACATTTACATGTTGCAGAGGCACATTACATAGGAAGCTAAAGGATTTCAATGGTGCTGTGGATGACCTCAGGCTGGCCTTAGACAAGTGTGACCACAGGAGATCCCACCCAGTCTACAGGAACTCCCAGAGACAGCTTTTGCTGACCTTCAACGACTTTGCGGTGGAGTGCTTCAGCAAGGGCAGGTATGAGGAGGCCATCACTCTCCTGAACAAGGCTCTGCAGGACGAGAAGCAGGAGAAGTCTTTGTATATTAACAGGGGAGGTGAGAGCAGACTGTTGTTATGTGTGCGCAGTGTGGGAGGTAAGAGCAGACTGTTGTTATGTGTGCACAGTGTGGGATAACAGGGGAGGTAAGAGCAGACTGTTGTTATGTGTGCACAGTGTGGGAGGTGAGAGCAGACTGTTGTTATGTGTGTACAGTGTGCGAGGTGAGACCATACTGTTGTTATGTGTGCACAGTGTGGGAGGTAAGAGCAGACTGTTGTTATGTGTGCACAGTGTCGGAGGTGAGAGCAGACTGTTGTTATGTGTGCACAGTGTGGGAAGTGAGAGCAGACTGTTGTTATGTGTGCACAGTGTGGGATAACAGGGGAGGTAAGAGCAGACTGTTGTTATGTGTGCACAGTGTGGGATAACAGGGGAGGTGAGAGCAGACTGTTGTTATGTGTGCACAGTGTGGGATAACAGGGGAGGTAAGAGCAGACTGTTGTTATGTGTGCACAGTGTGGGAAGTGAGACCAGACTGTTGTTATGTGTGCACAGTGTGGGAGGTGAGAGCAGACTGTTGTTATGTGTGCACAGTGTGGGAAGTGAGACCAGACTGTTGTTATGTGTGTACAGTGTGGGATAACAGGGGAGGTAAGAGCAGACTGTTGTTATGTGTGCACAGTGTGGGAAGTGAGACCAGACTGTTGTTATGTGTGCACAGTGTGGGATAACAGGGGAGGTAAGAGCAGACTGTTGTTATGTGTGCACAGCGTGGGAGGTGAGAGCAGACTGTTGTTATGTGTGCACAGTGTGGGAGGTAAGAGCAGACTGTTGTTATGTGTGCACAGTGTGGGAGGTAAGAGCAGACTGTTGTTATGTGTGCACAGTGTGGGAGGTAAGACCAGACTGTTGTAATGTGTGCACAGTGTGGGAGGTAAGAGCAGACTGTTGTTATGTGTGCACAGTGTGGGAGGTAAGAGCAGACTGTTGTTATGTGTGCACAGTGTGGGAGGTAAGAGCAGACTGTTGTTATGTGTGCACAGTGTGGGAGGTAAGAGCAGACTGTTGTTATGTGTGCACAGTGTGGGAGGTGAGAGCAGACTGTTGTTATGTGTGCACAGTGTGGGAGGTAAGAGCAGACTGTTGTTATGTGTGCACAGTGTGGGAGGTGAGAGCAGACTGTTGTTATGTGTGCACAGTGTGGGAGGTAAGAGCAGACTGTTGTTATGTGAGAGCAGACTGTTGTTATGTGAGAGCAGACTGTTGTTATGTGTTCACAGTGTGGGATGGAAGAAGAGACATAAATACTGTCTAGAGTGCTGAAATGTCTTACTTGTTACTTGTGCCAAAATGTCTTATTTGTTACTTGTGCTGAAATGTCTTATTTGTTACTTGTGCTGAAATGTCTTACTTATGCTGAGATGTCTTACATGTGCTGAAATGTGCTACTTGTTACTTGTGCTGAAATGTCTTACTTGTTACTTGTGCCGAAATGTCTTACTTATGATGAGATGTCTTACATGTGCTGAAATGTGCCTCTTGTTACTTGAGCTGAAATGTCTTACTTGTTACTTGTGCCGAAATGTCTTACTTATGATGAGATGTCTTACATGTGCTGAAATGTGCCTCTTGTTACTTGTGCCGAAATGTCTTACTTATGCTGAGATGTCTTACTTGTGCTGAAATGTGCTACTTGTTACTTGTGCTGAAATGTCTTACTTACTACTTGTGCCGAAATGTCTTACTTATGGTGAGATGTCTTACATGTGCTGAAATGTCTTACTTGTTACTTGTGCTGAAATGTCTTACTTGTTACTTGCGCTGAAATGTCTTACTTGTTACTTGTGCTGAAATGTCTTACTTGTTACTTGTGCTGAATGTCTACTCTTACTTGTGTACTTGTGCTGAAATGTCTTACTTGTTACTTGTGCTGAAATGTCTTACTTGTTACTTGTGCTGAAATGTCTTACTTACTACTTGTGCCGAAATGTCTTACTTGTTACTTGTGCTGAAATGTCTTACTTGTTACTTGTGCCGAAATGTCTTACTTGTTACTTGTGCTGAAATGTCTTACTTGTTACTTGTGCTGAAATGTCTTACTTATGCTGAGATGTCTTACTTGTGCTGAAATGTGCTACTTGTTACTTGTGCTGAAATGTCTTACTTACTACTTGTGCCGAAATGTCTTACTTATGGTGAGATGTCTTACATGTGCTGAAATGTCTTACTTGTTACTTGTGCTGAAATGTCTTACTTGTTACTTGTGCTGAAATGTCTTACTTGTTACTTGTGCTGAAATGTCTTACTTACTACTTGTGCCGAAATGTCTTACTTGTTACTTGTGCTGAAATGTCTTACTTGTTACTTGTGCTGAAATGTCTTACTTATGCTGAGATGTCTTACTTGTGCTGAAATGTGCTACTTGTTACTTGTGCTGAAATGTCTTACTTACTACTTGTGCCGAAATGTCTTACTTATGGTGAGATGTCTTACATGTGCTGAAATGTCTTACTTGTTACTTGTGCTGAAATGTCTTACTTGTTACTTGTGCTGAAATGTCTTACTTACTACTTGTGCCGAAATGTCTTACTTATGGTGAGATGTCTTACATGTGCTGAAATGTCTTACTTGTTACTTGTGCTGAAATGTCTTACTTGTTACTTGTGCTGAAATGTCTTACTTGTTACTTGTGCTGAAATGTCTTACTTGTTACTTGTGCTGAAATGTCTTACTTGTTACTTGTGCTGAAATGTCTTACTTATGCTGAGATGTCTTACTTGTGCTGAAATGTCTTACTTGTTACTTGTGCTGAAATGTCTTACTTGTTACTTGTGCTGAAATGTCTTACTTATGCTGAGATGTCTTACTTGTGCTGAAATGTCTTACTTGTTACTTGTGCTGAAATGTCTTACTTGTTACTTGTGCTGAAATGTCTTACTTATGCTGAGATGTCTTACTTGTGCTGAAATGTCTTACTTGTTACCTGTGCTGAAATGTCTTACTTGTTACTTGTGCTGAAATGTCTTACTTGTTACTTGTGCTGAAATGTCTTACTTGTTACTTGTGCTGAAATGTCTTACTTGTTACTTGTGCTGAAATGTCTTACTTGTTACTTGTGCTGAAATGTCTTACTTGTTACTTGTGCTGAAATGTCTTACTTGTTACTTGTGCTGAAATGTCTTACTTGTTACTTGTGCTGAAATGTCTTACTTGTTACTTGTGCTGAAATGTCTTACTTATGGTGAGATGTCTTACATGTGCTGAAATGTCTTACTTGTTACTTGTTACTTGTGCTGAGATGTGTACTGGTATGGCTATGACACTGTAATTATTCAATGGCTGTGGCACTCTGACATGTGAGTTAACCAACATCCCAGCACTCATAATTCTCCCATAAGCACTCCATCTTCAGCAGCCAGGCAGTGTTCCAGTTACTATGGTACCAGTTACAGTCTGATTATATGTCATTCCCGCTGAGTGTTCAATGATGGCCAGATCCCCAGGTCACTCCCTGCTGCCCAGTTCTCTCGACACTGTGGGCATCTGTTTGTGCTTCTGCATTGTTCATTTACTCCTAAGGGGTCTCGATCACATCTGGCTTGTCATGCAAGGTACTGACATATGTGAGATGGTAGTGTTACCATAATATTATTCATAATGAAACAAAATGCAAGGTAAACAGATAACAAACAAAGAATCAAGCTAATAGTGAAGAAATAGATAAAAAATCTTACGTGTTTTCTGCCAGATTGTTTCTACAAAAAGAATGAGCTTCTGTTTGCCATGGAGGATTACCTGCAGGCTCTCGAGCTTGATCCACAGGATACAGCAATCATGTTCAGACTGGCTCTTGTTCACAATGAGTTTGCTGTTAGCCACTTCGATGATAAGAACTACACTGTAAGTTTTCTTACAATTAGTCAGCAAGTTATGCTTTAGTACATTTGATGGAGGATTATCATCATTGTCAGGTCTTGGTCAGAAATGACAGGACTACCGCATAACAGCAGTCACTACTAACTGTATTCTGTTAACGCTTAAAGTTAGGCGGCATTTGCAAAACCTGATTCCATTTTATGTCATTGGTTTTGGCAGAGGAGCACATTGGGGAGGTTATTAGCAATATCCTAGGACAAGAAAACTTGGCTCTCCTGTCAAATCCGGACGAAGAATAAAAAGCCTTGACGACTTAGTCAGAGCTCTCTCCCTTGGCCGCACTGCGAACAGTGATCGGAAAAGCCAACGAAACAAACGACACACTTACCTATCATCATACGGTTGCGTGTAGGGCTGCGTACGGTTGCGTGAGGCATCGTGAAGGGATGCGTGGTCATCATATGGTTGCGTGCAGGGTTGCGTACGGTTGCGTGAGGCATCATGAAGGGTTGTGTAGTCATCATGCGGTTGTTGGGTTAGAGTTAGGGGTAGGGTTAGGGTTAGGGGTAGGGTTAGGGTTAGGGGTAGGGGTAGGGTTAGGGTTAGGGTTAGGGTTAGGGGTAGGGGTAGGGTTAGGGGTAGGGTTAGGGGTAGGGTTAGGGTAGGGTTAGGGGTAGGGTTAGGGTTAGGGGTAGGGTTAGGGGTAGGGTTAGGGTTAGATGTGAAAATTTTGACGTAGGGTTTCGAAATACTGGCCGACAATCTGATGTTTATGGGAGTGGCGCCACTGAAATTCTGCTAAATATGACGCCAATAGTGTGCGGCTGGTGCCCAATCGTTGGCGAATTGTGCGTTTGACCAGCATCCAGAGGCCCTCAATTGTTTGTGTGTGTATGTGACTGTGTACGGCGTCGACCAAGTTGGTCTGGTGGACTACTACCTCGTGCAGATAGATGCCATGCCGTAAGTTTGCCACGTTGCTGTAGCCTCGCCAAGCGTCAGTCACGATAGTCGTTCCCGGCAACTAAGTCGTGCGTCGGAAGAACGATGTTAGTTATGTGAGTGCGTCTAACTGCCATGTTGCTTGTGTCGTTTGTTTCGTTTGCTTTTCCGATCACTGTTTGCAGTGCGGCCAAGGGAGAGAACTCTGACTAAGTCGTCCAAGGCTTTTTATTCTTCGTCCGGATTTGACAGGAGTACCGAAAACTTTATGTTATGGCAGTTCATACCAGGTCGTTAGCTTTGGCTGGCAGCTGGTTTAGGGGTGAAACTCTGACATGTGGACAAATAGATCGCTGCTATTCTGATCCAGCAGCTTCTGAAGTGTGCTTTGTTCTGAACCTACTGGTGTTACCTTTCCTTTGGAGTAAGCAAGGCACTTGTCAGCCTGTGCATGGGCAATCATTTACATGGAAAACTAATTTGGAACATGAATGAAGTCTGGTTGAGTACTCTTCTAAATTACAAACTCAAGTTCAAATACCTGATGCCGAAAGGTCTTACTGTATGACATACCTATGTTTCAAACATGTGTTGACCAAAACTCTTCCACTGTATGACTGTTTAGGTTTCAGATGTCCATCCATCCATAGAGATATCCCAGCTCAGAGACTCTATTTTATGATATAAAAGGTTCAGACTTCCGCTACCCATTGCCACACTTATCTGAGTGTAATGACCTTATAGGGAAGCCATGCATGATGCATTTCTCTTTTATAAATGCCACAAAAATGTCCTGGGGCATCCATTCAAAGGTGCCATTGTCAATGAGAGAAGTTTAACATGCTGAGAAAATGAGATGCAAATTTGTTCAGAAAATCGGACTCTCAGGTCTGCACACTGCTTTCTGAGGACCCCTAAAAGATGCAGCATGTAATGTGCGGAAGGCTTAGTATTCAGGTGTGAGGTTAAGCAGTCATTTGCACAACGTGATGATTCCTCAGGTGAGCCAGGTATCTGCTCTGCATTAATGGAAGCTTTGGTGGATGTTGGGGAATGCCCATGCTCTGGCCCTGCTTTCCGTTGAGGGTCAACCGAGCTGCATGCAGCATCCCTGGACGGATACTTTAGGGACAACCCTGTGAATCAAGGGATGATGAACTTAACACACATTTAAATCTGCAAATGTCCCATGAAACTACCAGGATAACTCACCCGGATAACAAAAAACTACAGAAGCTGGATGTGTCGTCTGAAAGGTGCAAATGCTGCGGCTATGCTGTAAACTGGCACAACATATTTGTGCAACTAGGACGAATATATATATATATCCAGTCTTTATGTTGATAGTTTTTTGCAAGGAAAACCTAACAATATTCTCCATTTTATTGCAGGCAGCTGAAACTGAATTCACCCAGGCATTAGAGTGCAGTCCCCTTGTTGGCCAGTTTTATGTATCACGATCACGTGCTCGTTCAATGCTAGGGGTAGGGCCAGCCATTACCTGTCGGTTACATTATTGTTTTAAGATAAATTATTATTTTCTTATGATGGGATGAAATATTATCATGTGGAGATTAGATTAATTGTTACTATGAGTGAGTAAATCTTTCATAAGATTTAATCAACTGTTTCTGTGAGGGAGTAACTCTTTCAGAAAATTGAATTAATTATTACTATGAGGTAGTTACCCTTACAGGTGAAGCAAGTCTTCATAGTAGAAGCTCAGCTGGGAAAACAGCACTATGCAAAAATCAAATGTGTTTGCTTTCAATGGCGCTAACATGGCTGCTAGGAAAGCCAGATTTCTTCAACCACATAATATGTGTTGCTTTGGACTGAAAGGTTATAGGAAGGGCTTGGAAGGGTCATGTGGAGAAACCCAATTAGGGGGTATGGGGAAGAAAAGTCCAACTTCCTCCCTATAAAGCATGTCATAGGAGTTGACTAACTGGGGATTTCCTAAGAAGTCGGAGTGCATCAGCCTGAAAGACAAGGAACCAACAGTCTGCATACAGATAAGCAGGATCTGTGACATTTAACACTTAAGTTCTGGAACAAGGCTAAAGTCCAGAAGTGGATGAACAACCAGAACTTTCTGCTTGAATTTATTGCCATTGAACATGACGAAGAAGAAGTCAGTTGCACATTAATGAAAGTATTCTCAGGCATTAGGAATGCACACGCTTTGCCCCTGGGTCACCTTGAGGGTCACTCAACATCCTGATCATCTGATAGGTTATAAGTGTGCAGTTGATTTGGATGTTGAGTGACCCTCAAGGTGACCCAGGGGCAAAGATGAAAAAAAAGATGCAAAGACCATCACTGCATAGACACGGATAAGTGTCTTGCATAAAGACAGATAAATGTCTTATGAAACTTACACAGAAATACTAAATGGATGACATATGTCAGAACAGAGTCAGAGGTGTTGTTTAAATTACAAAACAATATAGGAAGGGTAACCCAGATGACTTATGCAAGAATAAAGTTCATATGCAGGCCAAAATATAAAACAATAAAAGAAGGCCATCCTGGATGACATATGCCAGTTTTATTCTTGCAGACATTACCAGGACAATTATGAACAGCCAAACTATTCAACTGTAGATGAAGACTAACTCGGATGACAAATGGCAGGATGAAATCAGATTGTTGGCCAAACTCTGAAACTACATAAACTGGCTATAATAGATAAATATGCTAGGGTAAAGCCCAGTAATGTCTACCAAAAGGCAAAATTAACCCAGCTGTTTTGAAAACAGACACAGTGCACTACTTTCCAAAATAAAAAATAATTAAGTAAACAAAGTAGACGATGCTGGGAAAAAATATGTAGCAGTAAGATCCATCATTACGCAAACATTCAGGTTAATTGCGTATCCTTTACAGGACGTTGCAAAACCAACCACAACATGGTTTTTTTAAGGCAAATTTACATCCAGTAGTTTGCCATTGCTTTCTGGATGGTCGGCCTTCTACCCAAACATTAGCATCTCAAAAAACATGTACATCCATACCAGAGATTTATATTCAGTAAATAGTTGGTTGTTTAACACATGGTCTGTACAATACTGCCCAGACTTTGTGCTAGCGAGAGAGAGAGAGAGGGGGTTGGGAGCTGAGATAAAGCACACTGAATACACATGGTCTATACAATACTGCCCAGACTTTGTGCTAGCGAGAGAGAGAGAGGGGGGGTTGGGAGCTGAGATAAAGCACACTGAATACACATGGTCTGTACAATACTGCCCAGACTTTGTGCTAGCGAGAGAGAGAGAGGGGGTTTGGGAGCTGAGATAAAGCACACTGAATACACATGGTCTGTACAATACTGCCCAGACTTTGTGCTAGCGAGAGAGAGAGAGGGGGTTGGGAGCTGAGATAAAGCACACTGAATACACATGGTCTGTACAATACTGCCCAGACTTTGTGCTAGCGAGAGAGAGAGAGGGGGTTGGGAGCTGAGATAAAGCACACTGAATACACATGGTCTGTACAATACTGCCCAGACTTTGTGCTAGCGAGAGAGAGAGAGAGGGGGTTGGGAGCTGAGATGAGATAAAAGCACACTGAATACAGACTTGGTCTAGCGAGAGAATAGGGGGTTGGGAGCTGAGACTTTGTGCTGGCAACAATGGTCTAGAGAGAGAGAGAGAGAGGGTCTTTGGTCAGCTGAGATGATTCCATGTTTTCCTGTAACACAAGATATTATTATCTACAAAACAAAAATGCTAATATAATTTTTTGAGTATTTCCTGGGCAGTTTCTAGTTGCATTCTAGTCTGTATGATATAACTTGTGGTTGAAAATATATGTGTGCATAAGTGTGCATGTGTGTGCCCGTGTGCCATTTTTATAATACATGATGAGGTGTACATTTATTCAACTCTGCAGGATCTCACGGGTGCCAGAGAAGATTGCCTGTGGGGTCTGTTGTTATCTCCGACCTCCAGTGGCAACACTTCCATCATGGCCAGGCTGTTCCCAGGAAAATCTATGGCTGACATCCTCAACAGTCCAGCAGCAAATGCTGTGAAAATTAAAGTTCATGCCCTACTTTCTGTAAATTGTAGTAGAAAACTGGATCAGCCAGAGTGGAAGTGAGTAAATATCTTCTTGTTTTTCCTCTGGTTTAATTCTAAACAGCCATCTTGTTTGGTCTCACACACACACACTAACAACTCAGTCCCAAGATGTGTCCTAACAAAACTTTTTTCAGTCCCAGGCTTCTTATCTCACAGACCTGTTACATCGTCTTGTCTCTGGCCGAAAGTCTCCATCCAATCCTGAGCAGGGGAACCAGCCCTAGCTTCATACTTAGAGGACACACTCCGAATGCGTCTAAGTCTGAAATCGACGAGGGATGATGACTGGTAAAAACACATTCCACAAACTATCCTGACAAAGAGGAGTCATGAAGGGATTACAGAAAACTATGTGAGTTGAAAAAGAAAGAATAGGTTCGTGTTGCAGCCGAGTGAAGCACAAGAAGTGAATAAAACATATCAAAGAAGGGAACCTCAAGAAATCATAGTGAATGGTTTACTACCGAATGAGATAATAGAAATACTTGAGGCTATCAAAATAATAATATTCACACATTTGCATGTACTGGAGGTAACTCATTGAGACAAGGGGAGATAAGTGTTTTCTGAATGTTGCACTAGACATTAAAAAGAATAAGTTATGATAAGATTCATCAAAAAGAAAAAAAGGTCTAATTTATTGACTTTGTAAAGGATCACTTTAATTGCACACATAAATGTCCATGAGTGCTCCATAGGTAAACTTGTAGCTACAGAATAATAATATTCATACGTTTGCAAGTATTGAAGGGAACACACTGAGCATACAGAAATTACTGTTTTAGCATACAGACAGTTATGTTTGTCCTTTTAGGAATTTTTTGTTATTTACTCTGGCTTTTGCCAGGGGCCGCTAGGCAGGTCATCATTATGGCCAAATGTCTGAACGCGGTTTCTGGGAATAATCCGCATGGTGGCACTTTGTGATATCGGGTTGTTTATCGCTCACTGGTGGGGTAAAAAATCCAATCCAATCCACTAGACATTAAAAAGAATAAAGTATGATAACACTCACTTTAAAATTAAAAAGAAAAAAAAAATTACTGGCTTTGTAAATGATCACTTCAATATATTTCCATGAGTGTTCCTGTTCCCTTCCAAAAATAATTTGAAGAGACTCAGCAACACCATTGAGAATTCCAGTGTATATATTAGAGCTATACCGAATAGGTGATCATCACTTTTCGGCTGAATACGAATAACGGGACCAACTAATCGGCCGAATACGAATAGTGTATAAATAGACCCCAAAAAATCAGTCCTCCCAGATCTGCTGTGTGCTTTGTTTTCTAAACCACATTTTCACTTCATATTCAACTTCTGAAAAATGTCTCCTGCCAAGGTGGGTTTTTAGTGGACCAAAAATTTCAGTTGATCATGCATTATTTTGTATGCTGGACCGTGTTAGCACCCTATTGCAGCTGTTACAGAGTCAACAGTTACTTGCCTGTCACCTCTGATCATCTCCTCCCCCCGCTGCATGGATGCATCTTTTGCAATCTCAACAGGATGACCAGATTAGACTTCATCAACGTCATTGAGAAAAATTTTACCTAGCTATGAACAGCTTTACAAAATAAACATTTGTCAGTACAAACAGGAACTATTTCCTTATGAATGTTCTTTGCAGATAGCTCTTTTACCCCCACCAAGAAAAAAATGCACAACAATACGCTGTTCCTTGAGGGTTATCTCCATAAGTATAGTTGCCATTTTGTTGCTGTGTTGTGAATGTGCATGCAACACCTGGCACCACCTAATGAATAGAGACATAAAGTTTGATGTTGCTGTCATCCAATGACACCTTCAGAAACCACTACAATATTTTCCCCGCAACCATTTGTGTCTTACTTATTGACTTTCCTTCATAGATATCACAGAGTACACTACTATTTTAAAGTGGTTTATTTTGCATTCATTTATGTCATAGTTATTTACTTCAGATGTGACAGACTTTAAATAATTGTAGACTTTCTGAATTTATTTGATCTGTGGTACAAATGTAACAGCCAAAAATAACACTATTACTTCGCTATATTTACCTCTTTTCCTGAGGATTCAAAGCCACAGACTAGTGCTGTTGCCATGCACTGTGCAATTTAGGATTGGAATAATGTAATATAAATGCCTAATTCAGTGATTTAGCTGATGGTTGACTTATATAAAGAGTCAGATAATAACTCTGATATTCATTTTATGTTAATATCTAGCTAATCTAAAAAAAAAATTATGTAGCACATGATTTGTTCCACTCATTTAAATGGTGATTGTTTTACAGTAATCCAGCCAACACTGAAGGCGACACAAACCCTGGTACAAGTGGGTTTGAGCCTGCAGCAGATCAGTCAAGGCTTTCCACTAAGGCCTTATATCAACAGGAGTCAGAGGTCAGAGGTTACAGCTTGTGTATGACAGACAGAGAACTGCTTGTGAAAGAAGTCCAAGAAAAGAAGAAGGTAAGGAAAAGACAAAACATGTTGTGAGGATAAGGCTTCTAGCATGCGGAGATGCTGTACAAGTGCTGAGTGGTCTGTCTAAATAATATAAATGCTCGAGGCTTGGAAAGAGGAATTTTGATGATGTTTTTTTTTTTTTAAATTAAAAAGTTACATTTGAGAGGACTGACTTTACTGTACTAGGGTTTTATCCTATATGGTGTGGTCTCTCTCTCTCTCTCACTTAAAGCACAAACTCTGCAGCTTCAGTGATGATCCCATGAATTTCCATAAAAATTGAGTTCATGAACCTAACGCCACAAACTGTCAAGTGAACCCATTACCTTTAGGCAAACAGTTTGACCACTTCGTTACACAAACCCCCCTATCAGGGTCATTAATAAACATCAGAATAAAGTCGACATCAGAGATAAACTATTTAACTTTACTCCAAGCATATTCACAGATATCAGTCTTTCTGCTAATTTATTTTAGCATCATGCTTACTTCAGACTTAGCTGTGCTCTTCTCTGACATGTTAACATCAGTTTAAGAATTGCCAATTTGTGTTTCTGGTCATATATATTTAGTTGTGAGAAAACAGATGGATCAGCTGACTTTGGCACCATATTGGAGGGTCAGCCAAAAGGTCAAACTGATTATCACCTTGAACTTAATAAAAAGAGATCACTTTAGAAGAGGGAGAAAAAAAACTATCAGAAAAAAATAAATATTGCCAGTCTGTACAGCTACAAGCTTTCTGTGCTTGGGGTAAAAAGTACATGGCTCATAAAGTGTATCCGGTAAACAGCTCTAGTAGTGTAATTTTTGTAAACAGATAAATGGTTACTCAATGCATGATATGTCACTAACACATCATGATCATACACACTTACACCCCCCCCCCCCCCCCCCACACCCCACAACCCCCTGATTGTTGAGACCTATTTTAAATTAGGTTGGTTTGGCAGTCCAAGTTCAAAATCCTGGCCACAGGGAGTATTCAAACACATGATCACAGGTTTGGCAGTTGTGTTCTGCCCTCTGCACCAACTCATTTATTTTTAACAGTTCGCCAAAAACACACATTTTTAAAAATTAAAGTAATCAGCATCAGTTGTTCAGATCAAAAGTTTGGATTGAAAGATAGATTGACCACAGAAAGACAATAAAGTAAAAAGCAGTGTCCATCTTTTCAGATGACTTGACATAATTCTAAAAACAATGTGAGGTGCATTTCCTGAACAGTGTGTTAAAAAACTACAATGTTAAAAACCAGGGTAAGAAACACAGAGGTAATCAAATTTTGCAAAATCAGATATGCAAAACTAAAGTCTACATTGTAATTGAACAGTTAAGACAATCAAAAAGTTCAACTACTTGGAAAGTTTCCTTTCACTTGATAAGCAGAAACAGCAAGGAAATTAAAGCTTAAGTTGCCATTAATGGAATAACAGAAGAAAAGATGTAACAAAATTAACAGGGTTCACATCCTTTTACAGAGAGCTCTCTTAGATCTACAGATGAAAAGCAATAGCAGGACCAGAAGGAAAGAAGAAAGATTTCTAATGTTATGATCCTTTAGCTTTTTTCTCTATATCTATTTCACTTGTGCCATTCTCTGTGTATGTTATTATATGATCAAATTAAGAGAAGCTTTTCATTTATTTTAAACATAATTTTCATTTTTTTTTCCAAAGGTGGAAAGCAGAGTTAAAGATGCCCTATTTAACCGCAGACCTCTACATGCCGATGGGCCAAAACTTCTGCCACTTCCTTCGCTGATCACTCTCCCACCAAATGTAGCAAGAAGTGCCGACAGACTTCCCATGACAACTGGCACAGAAGACAAAGAAGTCTCAGAACAGAACCTGTCTTTCACACACTATAGACCAAACTGGAGACAGTTTAGTCACACAGTCAGAGCAGTTAAAAATATGTAGATTTATGGACTGTTTTGTTTCTCTCTACAATAAAATAAAAGTACTTACAAAGATTCTAACCTTTTTCTTCTTTTGTCCTTCTGCTTATGCTGCAGAGCATCTCAGAGAGGAGTTATGTGTAGTTTCTTTTGCTGTTTGCGTAGCTTTTGCTAAGGTCATATCACATTTCTGTAATGACTCTTTTACTTCCTCCATCCATCTCCTTCTTGGTTGGCCCTGTAATCTGCTGTTCTCTTGTCTTACGCTCTAGCTGATTTTTTTTCCATTCTGAAGTTCTTCCTTCAGGTCATCTGTAGTCACCTGACCAGGCGGGTCAGTTTCATGTGTCTTGGAGATAGCATCCCATGTTTGAACTCTGAACATAACCTTGACAAAGACCTTGATCTCCATTTCTACATATGACTCTGATAAATGGGGAAAAAAAAGGCAAAGGAAAGGCAAACAAATAAATACTTGAATCTATATGGATGGGTGATAGACAAAAACACTGACTTGATCGTGATTCTGATGATCGTGAGATGGCGAGACATGGCGACCAGCACGGCACATAATGATGATATAGAAAAGTATGTGTTAGAACAGCAGAGGGGATGAAGAAAGGAAGAAGTTGGGAACAGAGGGGTGGGAGGGAACAGGGAGATGGAGGGAACAGAGGGGTGAGAGGAACAGAGGGGTGGGATGGAACAGGGAAATGGGAGGGAACAGAGGGTTGGGATGGAACAGAGGGGTGGGATGGAACAGAGGGGTGGGATGGAACAGGGAGATGGGAGGGAATAGAGGGGTGGGACGGAACAGGGAGATGGGAGGGAATAGAGGGGTGGATGGAACAGAGTGGTGGGATGGAACAGGAAGATGGAGGGAACAGAGGGGTGGGAGGGAACAGAGGGGTGGGATGGAACAGGGAGATGGAAGGGAACAGAGGGGTGGATGGAACAGAGGGGTGGGATGAAACAGGGAGATGGGAGGGAATAGAGGGGTGGGATGGAACAGGGAGATGGGAGGGAATAGAGGGGTGGGACGGAACAGGGAGATGGGAGGGAATAGAGGGGTGGGACAGAACAGGGAGATGGGAGGGAACAGAGGGGTGGATTGAACAGAGGGGTGGGATGGAACAGGGAGATGGGAGGGAACAGAGGGGTGGATGGAACAGAGGGGTGGGATGGAACAGGGAGATGGGAGGGAATAGAGGGGTGGGACAGAACAGGGAGATGGGAGGGAATAGAGGGGTGGATGAAACAGAGTGGTGGGATGGAACAGGGAGATGGGAGGGAATATAGGGGTGAGACGGAACAGGGAGATGGGAGGGAATAGAGGGGTGGATGGAACAGAGGGGTGGGATGGAACAGGGAGATGGGAGGGAACAGAGGGGTGGATGGAACAGAGGGGTGGGATGGAACAGAGGGGTGGGAGGGAACAGAGGGGTGGGATGGAACAGGGAGGTGGGAGGGAACAGAGGGGTGGATGGAACAGAGGGGTGGGATGAAACAGGGAGATGGGAGGCAAAAGAGAGGTGGGATAGAACAGGGAGATGGGAGGGAATAGAGGGGTGGGACAGAACAGGGAGATGGGAGGGAATAGAGGGGTGGGACAGAACAGGGAGATGGGAGGGAACAGAGGGGTGGATGGAACAGAGGGGTGGGATGGAACAGGGAGATGGGAGGGAACAGAGGGGTGGATGGAACAGAGGGGTGGGATGGAACAGGGAGATGGGAGGGAATAGAGGGGTGGGATGGAACAGGGAGATGGGAGGGAATAGAGGAGTGGGACAGAACAGGGAGATGGGAGGGAACAGAGGGGTGGATGGAACAGAGGGGTGGGATCGAACAGGGAGATGGGAGGGAACAGAGGGGTGGATGGAACAGAGGGGTGGGATGGAACAGGGAGATGGGAGGGAATAGAGGGATGGGACAGAACAGGGAGATGGGAGGGAATAGAGGGGTGGATGGAACAGAGTGGTGGGACGGAACAGGGAGATGGGAGGGAATATAGGGGTGGGACGGAACAGGGAGATGGGAGGGAATAGAGGGGTGGATGGAACAGAGGGGTGGGATGGAACAGGGAGATGGGAGGGAACAGAGGGGTGGATGGAACAGAGGGGTGGGATGGAACAGAGGGGTGGGATGGAACAGGGAGATGGGAGGGAACAGAGGGGTGGATGGAACAGAGGGGTGGGATGAAACAGGGAGATGGGAGGGAATAGAGGGGTGGGATGGAACAGGGAGATGAGAGGGAATAGAGGGGTGGGAGGGAATAGAGGGGTGGGATGGAACAGGGCGATGGGAGGGAATAGAGGGGTGGGACAGAACAGGGAGATGGGAGGGAACAGAGGGGTGGATGGAACAGAGGGGTGGGATCGAACAGGGAGATGGGAGGGAACAGAGGGGTGGATGGAACAGAGGGGTGGGATGGAACAGGGAGATGGGAGGGAATAGAGGGGTGGGACAGAATGAGATGGGAGGGAATAGAGGGGTGGATGGAACAGAGTGGTGGGTCGGAACAGGGAGATGGGAGGGAATATAGGGGTGGGACGGAACAGGGAGATGGGAGGGAATAGAGGGGTGGATGGAACAGAGGGGTGGGATGGAACAGGGAGATGGGAGGGAACAGAGGGGTGGATGGAACAGAGGGGTGGGATGGAACAGAGGGGTGGGAGAGAACAGAGGGGTGGGATGGAACAGGGAGATGGGAGGGAACAGAGAGATGGGAATGAATAGAGGGGTGGGATAAAACAGGGAGATGGGAGGGAATAGAGGGGTTGGACGGAACAGGGAGATGGGAGGGAATAGAGGGGTGGATGGAACAGAGGGGTGGAATGGAACAGGGAGATGGGAGGGAACAGAGGGGTGGATGAAACAGAGGGGTGGGATGAAACAGGGAGATGGGAGGGAATAGAGGGGTGGGATGGAACAGGGAGATGGGAGGGAATAGAGGGGTGGGATGGAACAGGGAGATGGGAGGGATAGATGGGTGGGACAGAGTAGGGAGATGGGAGGGAATAGAGAGGTGGGAGTGAAGGAAAGAGAAATGGTAGCTGGGAGGGAAAGTGGGAAACATGAAAAATGGGGGTGGGGGGTGGGGTAGAAATTTTGGAACAGGGGAGGGTATAGCAGAGAGAGGAAGAAGGTATGAATAGGGAATGAACACAGTCTTGCATTATATTAAAATGTTTGATAACAGTAATGATGATGATGATGATAATGAAGATTATGACAGTGACGATGATGATGAGAAAAATGGCTGGCAATAAAAATAATAGTAATGATGGAAGTGATGAAAAAAAATGGAGGCGTGGAGGTGGGGGGTAGAATCACAGCAGTAGTGATAACGAGGGTGGAATTCATGATGATATGAGCAGACAGACAGGCTGACAGAGATAAGCAAGCAGACTGTAGAGAGATCAGGTTGATGGATGAACAGACAGACAGACAGGCTGACAGAGATAAGCAAGCAGACTGGAGAGAGATCAGGTAGATGGACAGACAGACAGGCTGACAGAGATAAGCAAGCAGACTGTAGAGAGATCAGGTTGATGGACAGACAGACAGGCTGACAGAGATAAGAAAGCAGACTGTAGAGAGATCAGGTTGATGGACAGACAGACAGACAGACAGGCTGACAGAGATAAGCAAGCAGACTGTAGAGAGATCAGGTTGATGGACAGACAGACAGACAAACAGACAGACAGACAGACAGACAGACAGACAGACAGACAGACAGGCTGACAGAGATAAGCAAGCAGACTGTAAAGAGATCAGGTTGATGGACAGACAGACAGACAGGCTGACAGACAGGCTGACAGAGATAAGCAAGCAGACTGTAGAGAGATCAGGTAGATGGACAGACAGACAGATAGACAGACAGAGATAAGCAAGCAGACTATAGAGAGATCAGGTTGATGGACAGACAGACAGATAGACAGACAGAGATAAGCAAGCAGACTATAGAGAGATCAGGTTGATGGACAGACAGACAGACAGACAGGCTGACAGAGATAAGCAAGCAGACTGTAGAGAGATCAGGTTTATGGACAGACAGACAGACAGACAGACAGACAGACAGACAGACAGGCTGACAGAGATAAGCAAGCAGACTGTAGAGAGATCAGGTTGATGGACAGACAGACAGACAGACAGACAGACAGACAGACAGGCTGACAGAGATAAGCAAGCAGACTGTTAAGAGATCAGGTTGATGGACAGACAGACAGACAGGCTGGCAGACAGGCTGACAGAGATAAGCAAGCAGACTGTAGAGAGATCAGGTTGATGGACAGACAGACAGGCTGACAGAGATAAGCAAGCAGACTATAGAGAGATCAGGTTGATGGACAGACAGACAGACAGACAGGCTGACAGAGATAAGCAAGCAGACTGTAGAGAGATCAGGTTGATAGACAGACAGACAGACAGACAGACAGACAGGCTGACAGAGATAAGCAAGCAGACTATACAGAGATCAGGTAGATGGACAGACAGACAGACAGACAGGCTGACAGAGATAAGCAAGCAGACTATAGAGAGATCAGGTTGATGGACAGACAGACAGACAGACAGGCTGACAAAGATAAGCAAGCAGACTATAGAGAGATCAGGTTGATGGACAGACAGACAGACAGACAGACAGGCTGACAGAGATAAGCAAGCAGACTGTAGAGAGACCAGGTAGATGGACAGACAGACAGGCTGACAGAGATAAGCAAGCAGACTGAAGAGAGATCAGGTTGATGGACAGACAGACAGACAGACAGGCTGACAGAGATAAGCAAGCAGACTATAGAGAGATCAGGTTGATGGACAGACAGATAGACAGACAGAGATAAGCAAGCAGACTATAGAGAGATCAGGTTGATGGACAGACAGACAGACAGGCTGACAGACAGGCTGACAGATATAAGCAAGCAGACTGTAGAGAGATCAGGTTGATGGACAGACAGACAGGCTGACAGAGATAAGCAAGCAGACTGTAGAGAGATCAGGTTGATGGACAGACAGACAGACAGAGATAAGCAAGCAGACTGTAGAGAGATCAGGTTGATGAACAGACAGACAGAGATAAGCAAGCAGACTGTAGAGAGATCAGGTTGATGGACAGACAGACAGGCTGACAGAGATAAGCAAGCAGACTGTAGAGAGATCAGGTTGATGGACAGACAGACAGACAGAGATAAGCAAGCAGACTGTAGAGAGATCAGGTTGATGAACAGACAGACAGAGATAAGCAAGCAGACTGTAGAGAGATCAGGTTGATGAACAGACAGACAGAGATAAGCAAGCAGACTGTAGAGAGATCAGGTTGATGAACAGACAGACAGAGATAAGCAAGCAGACTGTAGAGAGATCAGGTTGATGAACAGACAGACAGAGATAAGCAAGCAGACTATAGAGAGATCAGGTTGATGAACAGACAGACAGAGATAAGCAAGCAGACTATAGAGAGATCAGGTAGATGGACAGACAGACAGACAGAGATAAGCAAGCAGACTATAGAGAGATCAGGTTGACGGATAGACAGACATGGGCAATCAGGCTATCATCTTCTCTGGTTTTTCATCCTCATCTCCTTCTTTCCGAGTCTTGTGTTCATACACTTTCTTCTTCAACATATTCTGTCCCTCCTCTTTCACAGTCTTTTCTTTTTCTTCATCTTCTTCTTCTACTACTCTTTCTTCTCCTTCTGGGGGGGGGGGGGGGGGGGGGTCTTCTTCTTCTTTGTCTTCTATTCCACTTCTTTTGCCACCTTAACTTCTTCTCCTACTCATCTCCCTATTACTGTCTTGACTTCTTCTTCTCCTTCTATTCATCTTCCTCCATGTTCTGATTGTGTATTTTATCTTTTTCTACTCATTCCCCTCCTCCTGTCTTCATCTTATCTTGTTCTTCTAGAATTATAATCCTCCTCCTGCTTCATTTATCCAACCTCTTCTTCTTTAGTATTCAACATTATTTTTCTTCATTCGGTATTTTCATCTTCTTATTTTTATTACTCATCTTTCTCCTCATTCTTCTTTCACTATCACATCTTCTAATATTCATCCTCATTCTCCAAAATCTTGTCTTATTTTATTTATCTACAAACCCTTCCCTTCCTCATTCTATTCATTTATACTCTTCTTCTTCTTTATCTTCTAACACAGGGGCAATAATACAAAAAATACACAGCTAAAGAATTATCAGTCACTTGTATGCACTAGGATACCAGCAGACAAGACTGTTCACAGACAAGACTGTTCACAGACAAGAGTGTTCACAGACAAGACTGTTCACAGACAAGACTGTTCACAGACAAGACTTCACAGACAAGACTTCACAGACAAGACTTCACAGACAAGACTTCACAGACAAGACTTCACAGACAAGACTTCACAGACAAGACTTCACAGACAAGACTTCACAGACAAGACTTCACAGACAAGACTTCACAGACAGGACTGTTCACAGACAAAACTTCACAGACAGGACTGTTCACAGACAAGACTTCACAGACAAGACTGTTCACAGACAAGACTTCACAGACAAGACTTCACAGACAAGACTTCACAGACAAGACTTCACAGACAAGACTTCACAGACAAGACTTCACAGACAAGACTGTTCACAAACAAGACTTCACAGACAAGACTGTTCACAGACAAGACTTCACAGACAAGACTGTTCACAGACAGACAAGACTGTTCACAGACAGACAAGACTGTTCACAGACAGACAAGACCGTTCACAGACAGACAAGACTGTTCACAGACAGACAAGACTGTTCACAGACAAGACTGTTCACAGACACAACTGTGCACAGAGAACGATGACAGCTTTATTTAGAAAAATGTTTTAATACCATGTGTATTTAAATATATATGTATGTACTGTTTAAAATAAAAAACCACACAGTTATCTGACAGCGCTTTACTCACAACAACAACAACAACAACAACAACAACAACAACAACAAATGCATAGCTACTGAAAGAAACATAATTTTGACATTCAAAATCTGTGTGATTTACTGAGTGAAAATATTCACATTGCACACAAGAATACATCAGGGCTCACTCAATTAAGTTCTTTTGCATCTGGGTCATCAATAGTTTTTAGGTATACAGGCTTTCCCTGCCAACACATTGGAAAGAATACAGAAAAGATTTTTACATCTCCTCCTTGATAAAGCAACTGGAGGAAGTGAAAAAGAACAATAATTTTCCGTCTACCTAAACAACAGCCAAAACAAAATGTAAATAACTAGAAGGAAGAGAAATATCTTCAGGTAACTGTCAGTTATGCTGCCACATTTTGTTGGGGGCAGAGGTCGAGTCCTCAGGGGTGCTTCTATCCGTTGCCACTGGGTCATAATTGCATCTCGAGCTCCTGACCATTTTCCGGGGCCAAATAACCGGTATTGGTATGGTGTCGCTGGGCCAAATAGGACTTTAAGAGCCAAGAATGGGTCCTTCTTCAGCAGGTCAACTGAAACCAAATAAATAAACAACTGAAACCAAATAAATAAACAACTGAAACCAAATAAATAAACAACTGAAACCAAATAAATAAACAACTGAAACCAAATAAATAAACAACTGAAAAAAACCACACAAAAAACTGATATCTTAAATTTAAGAAAGGCAAGCAATCAAAGAAGACGTCTTGAAAAAGAAACATTCTTTGCCCACATCAGAAGATAAATAACATTTCTGAGTATGTTGTGATAACAAGAAAGTGAACAGGAAGAGAGAGAGAGAGGGAGACCAAGAGGGGCAATGATGGCTAGTTTCGCATCATAGCATGGAGGATCATCTGTGTCAGAGATGACTAACAGCACACAGGACAGAAGGCTGTCAACAGCCTCAACTCATGTCACAATGCAGCGTCTATTAGAACACAGTCAATTGAATGGCCACTACTGTCTTAATATCTTGTAGACAATGACTTGTCTGACTTTTCTTGGGAAAAGGGGGGGGGGGGGGGGGGGTTCACACTTGGCTTCTCCCCTCACAGTTTAAAAATAAATGTGATTAAAATTTAAATGCACGTTTTGCCCCAATAATTAGGTTTTTAAAGTCCCTTTGTGGTTTCCAGGGCACCATTGGGAGAAAAAAAATAAACCCACTGCCTGCCATACAAGCATGTCATAAGAGTTGAGTAACTGGGGGTTTCCATCAAAGTGATGAGAGTGCCGCTGCCTGAGAAGCAAGGAACCAACAATCTATATACAAATAAGCTATATTTGTAAAACTGATCTGCATAAAACACCCAGGTTCTGGAACAAGACTAAGGTCCAGAGGTGGACGAACACCCCAAACTTTTTGCTGGAGTTTATGGCCGATGAATGCAGAGAAGAAGAAGCAGATTTGTAAAGGCAGATGTACTAACAGCTCTTGAAAACAAAAACATTCCTTTTTATTTTATAAATAATTTTAAAATCTATTTTATTTACAAGTGAATAAGTTTCCCCCCCCCCCCCCTAGTGTAACAGGTTATTACAAGTACAAATACACTCAATTTCAAAATGGCCTGACCCCCCCCCCCCCCTTTCCTTTTCCCACCCCCTTTATTTCTTTTTTCTTTAAAACGTTCTTGCACCCTTCTGGTTGAAAACTAGTCGCTCCTCTGGTTGAAAACTAGTGGTTAGAGTCCCATGTGTGTTTTACATTGTTAGCACCCCAGCATGGTTTGAGACGGTGGAATATGAGTAACTTGTAGGCAAGTGAAAATCTCGCATCCATCGTGGCCTCAGTCTCTCTGTACTGGAAGTTTATTTTTCAGTTCCATTTTTCTAAGCCAAATGGTTTGTTGTCATGTGTCATATTCAGGGCAGTCTTGGACTGTATGGTCTTCTGTTTAGAACACCAAACCACAACATGTTCTGATTATAGTTTGGTATAAATATTTTTGTCCAACCAATTATGCCCTGTTCAAAGGTGCAGAAAAATTATTTGTTCCTGTCTATGCATAATAGAATTTCTGTTGTTGTATTATTTCTTTGGAACATCATACATCTACTGCATGTTCACATGGTAGATAAAAAAGCAAAAGAAGAAGAGGAAATGTTTAGTTCTTCTGCCTTCTATCACCCAATGGAGCATAGGCCCTCAACCAACTTACGCCGAGTCGTTCTAGCCTTTGCTGCTGCATGCCGCCCACTTATGACCTCTTTATCCTTTTAACTTCACTCTCTGGCTCCTTTCTCCAAGTGTTTCTTTCGGTCAGCTTATATTTTTATGCTGCTGTTGGTTCCAGTGCCAAGACATTCTAATTACACTGTTCTCAGTTTTCTCAATGTATGACCTATCCAACACCAGCATCTTTTCTTCACCTCTTGGTCCAGTGGAACTTGTTTAGTTATCTCCAAAAGCTCAGAATAAGTGATTCTGTTGTAACTTTTAATTCCCTTTATTCTGAGAAATATATACTGTCAGTGACAAATAATGTTCCTACTGTAAGTCTACTTGCCTGGAGGCATGCGACATTTTCCTCACCAAACCACACACACAAGACATATCAAAGAGTGTACCCACTTGAATTCACGGAACATCCAACAAGTTGGGCCAGCTCATCCATAAATGGGATGTAATCCACCTGGATTGTATGTCTCTGAGACTTGACGTATCTCTGAGCCATTTCTGCTTCATTTTTCCTGATGTCATTCCACATTTCTCCTCTAGAAGGTAATGATGTCACGCCCTGTTCAGGAGACATATACACATGAATGATGCAAATATTGAGTCAATGTGTGGTCTGTCAAGTCTTACTGTGGCAATCATCTACCAATTACCCTTATATATATAAACACACACACACACACCCCCCTCCCCCCACCCACCGCACACACCCACTTTTGTAAATGCATGCAAACTCTAACTCTCTCTCTCTCTCTCTCTCTCTCTCTCTCTCTCTCTCTCTCTCTCTCTCTCTCTCTCTCTCTCTCTCTCTCTCTCTCTCTCTCTCTCTCTCTCTCTCTCTCTCTCTCTCTCTCTCTCTCTCTCTCTCTCTCTCTCTCTCTCTCTGGTCAGTGTGTGTTCACTTATATATTCCCATTCACAGAGCAGCTGCTCCAGTCAGTCACACACAGAGGTACCAGATAAAGATTCCTGGCAAGAAAGGAAAAGATCCACCCGCCCGTCTTATTATGCAATGACACATAATATGAAAATAGCTAAACCTTTACGCCCTAGCAGATCTGCTATGGGATCACCACCAACTTACACTCTACGTTACACTTTATCCAGCAATCAGGTGCCATCTCCACAATGAAGGATGGCTGTAATGGATCTCCAACACTGTTTTTTGCCCTGAATGTACTCTCTCTCTCTCTCAACTGCTTTTCATCCCATCTCTTGATGTTATCCTTGCTTACCTTCAGCTTTCCCCTCCCGTATGATGTATATACCACTGTTACATCTTTAATGTAGGAAAATAGTCTCTATATTTTTTTCCTTTTAAATTTATTAACACAACATGTGACACAACATATGGCACAACATATGACACAACATATGACACAACATATGACACAACATATGGCACAACATATGACACAACATATGGCACAACATATGACACAACATATGGCACAACATATGACACAACATATGGCACAACATATGGCACAGCATATGACACAACATATGGCACAGCATATGACACAACATATGGCACAACATATGGCACAACATATGGCACACCATATGACACAACATATGGCACAACATATGGCACAGCATATGACACAACATATGGCACAGCATATGGCACAACATATGGCACAACATATGGCACAACATATGACACAACATATGACACAACATATGACACAACATATGACACAACATATGGCACAACATATGACACAACATATGGCACAACATATGACACAACATATGGCACAACATATGACACAACATATGACACAACATATGGCACAACATATGACACAACATATCTGTACCTGAGTGGGTTTTGGGGCCCCATGATGGAGAGGACCAACTGCCCGTAACAAGCATGTTGTAAAAGTGGACTAACTAGGGGTTTTTCTTTCAAAGTCAGAATGCATCTGCCTGAGAGACATAGAAATAAGCCAGATCTGTCAAATTGATGCGCACGCAAAGCAGAGACAGACGTCCAAAAGTGGACAAACAACCAGGACTTTCCGCTAGAGTTTACAGTCAGCAAACACCAAAACGAAACTTACATGTGTACACAAAAAGACATAGTTGCTTACTTTAATGACTCTTGCTGCCAGCCTGCACTGCAGCTCTGAGATGGGCATAATGGCCCCCAGTGGTTGGAAACACCCAATCACAGCCAGACTGTTGTGCTCCAGATTTGGTGGGTACATGTTTTTGTACAGCTGAACCCGGTTCTCTTGTACATCTATGAGCTGTCAATGCACAGAAATCAATGTACACTTCATTTAATCTAAGTGATTCTAGGATGGTAGATGATCCCATAAGATTAGATCCACACAAAATAAACGAGTTACTATTTGGTGACGATAAGTGCCTATTAGACAAGACTACAAGAACATTTAATCAAGCTAAGTTCAACATGAAGAAGATATGACATGAAAATAAAGACGACTAAAAATGAAATAATGAAAGTCAGCAGAATTCTTAGTCCACTACACATCGGGTTGAATGGTAAGTGTCACACTAGGAAAACATGGATCAATGAGATTGAAGAACTTCTACATCCGCAGGGAATGACAATAGCCATTGAAGCCCATCAAGCAATGGATCGCAAACTGTTCCTCCCCACAACGCTTAACACCAGAAATGGAAATTGATGATAATAATGATCTCATGAATTAGTGGGTACTAATTAGTATTGATACAACAGAGACATAAAACAGCTGTGAAAGAAAACAAGCAACAATTTGAGAAATGAACATCATCACCATCAACAAGTACCTAGCCAACAAGTATGGGTGACCATGCCTCTCCACAACCTACAATCTTCAACAGCATGTATCAATTTGTGTGTTGACATCCTTTCATGCCATGACAAAAGGCTGTAAAGACTTGTCTTATTTTGTCTTCCTCTGTCTCTTTTTTCACAGATCTTTCCAGCTGCCAAAGCATGTTCTGGTTTCCTTCTTCTTATCATGTGACCCAAAATGAGATGACTGTCTCTTTCTGACGTTTGTGATAACTTGTCTTTGAGCCTTGACCTCTTTCAGAACATCTGGGCTGCTCTTTTTGGCTGTTCAATAAATTCTGAGTATTTATCTATGAAACCAGATCTCCGAGGCCTCATGAAATTGTTTGGCTTGTTTATTAACCGTCCAGGATTTACAGCCATATGTTAAAAGTCCTGTGTAGAGTTAACCATGACTTCCTGGATTATACAACCAATCTCACACCACCAAACTCGGTCACGAATTATGAAACGTACTGTTGAAAAAAAGGACTCTTTTCCATTATTTCAGGTGCACTGGGCATACAGTGCTAGACCTATATTTTATAAACTGGTCGGCACTCAGTGGGGGATGTGATCAACCTCACGCCTGCCACCTTTACTTTCCAGATTTTAACTGGTAGCAGTTTTTGGTCTGCCTGTGAGCCAAGGTCATTTTTGAAAAAAATGTCTAGCTCTGTTTGGATTTGAACCCACAAGCTTCGGATCCACAAGCCAGCATCTAGATGCTATATCATGTTGGCTCCCCAGTAAGCACAATAGTGTACTCTTATTATTCTGTGCTTCCTTTATGCGTTCTGGATGGGTCTGCTCTCTTGATGCATGACAAGATGAGGTCAAGGCCATTTGGGAGCAGGTCAACTGTGTGAAAGCACGCACAGATTCTCTAAGTCTGAAGAGGACGGTGAGTGACCAGCGGATCTGGCTAACACTCATCACTCTTTCACTCAACCTGGAACTTTGCCCTGGCTGCTGAAGATGAGGATGGGGCGCCTAAGGGAATGATCTGGCTGCTATGATGTTGACTTAAAACAGGCTCTTGTAACACACACGAGAAAGATAACACTGACATTTTCTATTTCCCTATACACTCTAAGTTGAAGCTGAATTAAAAAAAAAAAAAAATAAAGCAGAATAATTCAGCAAATACAAGAAAACTCAAGACAAACCTTTTTATCAATGAAAGGGAAGCCAAAGGTGTAGCCGGTAGCTAGGACAACCAAATCAATGTTGTCCTCAAATGTCCCATCCACAAACTCCACCCCCATGCTGGTGAACCGTTTGATGTCTGTCTTGATCTTGACAGACCCACAGATGATCCTGTTAGGCATATCGTCATTGGCCATAGGATGCTGGCTCAACGGGCCATAGTCTGGTCGAAGGCTGCAGTACAAACTATTATTATTTTTTATATGTTCAAGAAGGTCAGAACAAACAATAACACCTGACAGGACTTTCCACAGGAGCTTATAACTGGTGGAAAGTCCATGTGGTTTATCCACTTGGACTTTGGCTTTGTGCAAATATATGTATATCCACTTACTAGCTTATTCGTGTGCAGTTGATTGTTACCTGCCATCCGGGCAGATATACTCCGACTTTGGAGAAAGTCCCCCCTACCCCAATTAGTCAACTCTCACGACCATTTTTTTTTCTGTTCTTGTTTTCCACACAATGAGATCCCAGACACCCCATGGGGAACCTTTTTTTTTTTTTTTTTTTTTTTCAAATTATTATTTATTTGTTTAATTAGTTAATGTTATTTGACAGATCTGGCTAATCTGTATGCAGATTATTGATTCCTCGTCTCTCAGGCAGATGTACTCTGACTTCAAAAAAGAAAACACCCTTAAATCTGCCGACCCTTATCTTCTTCTTCTTTGCGTTCACTGGCTGTAAACTTTGGTGGAAAGTTTTGGTTTTTAGTCCACTTCTGGACGTACCTCATTGAGGCCTGAGCGTTGTTTGAGAAGTTCCATTTTGCCCAAACAACGCTGTCATCGTCAATCGTGTGTCCCCTACATATTGCTTTGCACACGGCTCCGTACTTATTTCTAATGTTGGGAACTTTTATTAAATTATTTACGGAAAGTCACTCTAAACGATTTCCTTTTAGCAACATCCATATCCCAAGTAGATTGAACGGATTCATAGCAAAAATTTTTCAACAGTGCATTTTCTAAGTTCGTTTTCAAGTGCCATGAATACCAATGCTCCAACTGCAAGTACAGGTGGCAGAATGTGTTTTTCTGCGGCTGAAGCTCTGAAACTTTTTAAGTCAGATGTATTTAATTCTGATAATGATAATGAAAATTTAGATTTTCCGGGAAGTGATTAGGACGGTGAATTTTCCCCAGCAAAGCTGAACGATCAGCTGTTGGGAATCTAGCGATTCTGATGGGTTTACATGGACAATGTTCCATTGCTACCGTATTTATGGTGTAAGAGAAGGAAGGTGCTCCAAACAAAGAGACAGTACTATACCAAGGGTAAACTACATTGAAATCCTTGCAGCTACAGTCTGTATTACAAAGTAAATAGTAAATAGTGTGTGTGAGATGGCCCATTTTTCTGCCATTTTTTTCACTGAAATTTTGCTCAGCACTCTGTGAGAACTAAGAGCCCCTGAGTGCTAAACTAACCCAGAAACTTATCATCACTTTGGAATTTGTTAGGATATTGAACAAACTTTGAAGTTTTGTTCTCAAATTTGGATATTCACTACTCTTGTGGCTGCAAAATCATGGTAAGTGAAGAATTTTTTTGTAAAATGTTGTGAAATTAACACCTGCTAAATTTTCCTTTCCTATTAACTATTATTAAATCAAACATACACTTATCATCAAATTCAAAATGTTAATTCATTTCTCTTTAAACAAAAATATATTCTTTTATTGGGATTAGAAGTATATTACATTCTCTGTTGCCTTTCTTGTACACCAACTCCTCTGCCATTTTTGTAAAAGGGAAATTAATGTGGGCCAAGTCTGTCAAAATTCATGGGCCTGAAAGAGTTGTCTTGTTTCAGAACCTGTTGGCTCCTTGCCTCTCAGGCAGATACACTCCGACTTCAAAGGAAGCCCCCAATTAGTCAACTTCTATGACATGCTTGTTGGGAAGGCAGTGGATCTATTTTTGTTTTTCTCACAATGGGGCCCCGGAACCCACACAGGGATGTTAACCCTGATGACATGCTTGTCAGTGGTGGAGTGAGTCTGATCTTGTTCCACCCACCCACCCACAATGGGGCCCTGGATCCCACACAGGGATGTTAACCCTGATGACATGCTTGTCAGTGGTGGAGTGAGTCTGATCTTGTTCCACCCACCCACCCACAATGGGGCCCTGGATCCCACACATGAAATAAGTTATAATAATCCACTCACTACATGTACAGAATCAAATAACTGGGCATCAGCAGCAAAGTGTGCAGAGCTAAGTGTGCAGAGCAAAGTGTGCAGAGCAAAGTGTGCAGAGCAAAGTGTGCAGAGCAAAGTGTGCAGAGCTAAGTGTGCAGAGCAAAGTGTGCAGAGCTAAGTGTGCAGAGCAAAGTGTGCAGAGCAAAGAGCAGAGCTAAGTGTGCAGAGCAAAGTGTGCAGAGCAAAGAGCAGAGCTAAGTGTGCAGAGCAAAGTGTGCAGAGCAAAGAGCAGAGCTAAGTGTGCAGAGCAAAGTGTGCAGAGCAAAGAGCAGACCTAAGTGTGCAGAGCAAAGTGTGCAGAGCAAAGTGTGCAGAGCAAAGAGCAGAGCAAAGTGTGCAGAGCAAAGTGTGCAGAGCAAAGAGCAGAGCAAAGTGTGCAGAGCAAAGTGTGCAGAGCAAAGAGCAGAGCAAAGTGTGCAGAGCAAAGAGCAGAGCAAAGTGTGCAGAGCAAAGAGCAGAGCTAAGTGTGCAGAGCAAAGTGTGCAGAGCAAAGTGTGCAGAGCTAAGTGTGCAGAGCAAAGTGTGCAGAGCTAAGTGTGCAGAGCAAAGTGTGCAGAGCAAAGAGCAGAGCTAAGTGTGCAGAGCAAAGTGTGCAGAGCAAAGAGCAGAGCTAAGTGTGCAGAGCAAAGTGTGCAGAGCAAAGAGCAGAGCTAAGTGTGCAGAGCAAAGTGTGCAGAGCAAAGAGCAGACCTAAGTGTGCAGAGCAAAGTGTGCAGAGCAAAGTGTGCAGAGCAAAGAGCAGAGCAAAGTGTGCAGAGCAAAGTGTGCAGAGCAAAGAGCAGAGCAAAGTGTGCAGAGCAAAGTGTGCAGAGCAAAGAGCAGAGCAAAGTGTGCAGAGCAAAGAGCAGAGCAAAGTGTGCAGAGCAAAGAGCAGAGCTAAGTGTGCAGAGCAAAGTGTGCAGAGCAAAGTGTGCAGAGCAAAGTGTGCAGAGCAAAGTGTGCAGAGCAAAGAGCAGAGCTAAGTGTGCAGAGCAAAGTGTGCAGAGAAAAGTGTGCAGAGCAAAGAGCAGAGCAAAGTGTGCAGAGCAAAGTGTGCAGAGCAAAGAGCAGAGCAAAGTGTGCAGAGCAAAGTGTGCAGAGCAAAGAGCAGAGCTAAGTGTGCAGAGCAAAGTGTGCAGAGCAAAGTGTGCAGAGCAAACTGTGCAGAGCAAAGAGCAGAGCAAAGTGTGCAGAGCAAAGTGTGCAGAGCAAAGTGTGCAGAGCTAAGTGTGCAGAGCAAAGTGTGCAGAGCAAAGAGCAGAGCTAAGTGTGCAGAGCAAAGTGTGCAGAGCAAAGAGCAGAGCTAAGTGTGCAGAGCAAAGTGTGCAGAGCAAAGAGCAGAGCTAAGTGTGCAGAGCAAAGTGTGCAGAGCAAAGAACAGAGCTAAGTGTGCAGAGCAAAGTGTGCAGAGCAAAGTGTGCAGAGCAAAGTGTGCAGAGCAAAGTGTGCAGAGCAAAGTGTGCAGAGCAAAGAGCAGAGCAAAGTGTGCAGAGCAAAGTGTGCAGAGCAAAGTGTGCAGAGCAAAGAGCAGAGCTAAGTGTGCAGAGCAAAGTGTGCAGAGCAAAGTGTGCAGAGCAAAGTGTGCAGAGCAAAGTGTGCAGAGCAAAGTGTGCAGAGCAAAGTGTGCAGAGCAAAGTGTGCAGAGCAAAGAGCAGAGCTAAGTGTGCAGAGCAAAGTGTGCAGAGCAAAGTGTGCAGAGCAAAGTGTGCAGAGCAAAGTGTGCAGAGCAAAGAGCAGAGCTAAGTGTGCAGAGCAAAGTGTGCAGAGAAAAGTGTGCAGAGCAAAGAGCAGAGCAAAGTGTGCAGAGCAAAGTGTGCAGAGCAAAGAGCAGAGCAAAGTGTGCAGAGCAAAGTGTGCAGAGCAAAGAGCAGAGCTAAGTGTGCAGAGCAAAGTGTGCAGAGCAAAGTGTGCAGAGCAAACTGTGCAGAGCAAAGAGCAGAGCAAAGTGTGCAGAGCAAAGTGTGCAGAGCAAAGTGTGCAGAGCTAAGTGTGCAGAGCAAAGTGTGCAGAGCAAAGAGCAGAGCTAAGTGTGCAGAGCAAAGTGTGCAGAGCAAAGAGCAGAGCTAAGTGTGCAGAGCAAAGTGTGCAGAGCAAAGAGCAGAGCTAAGTGTGCAGAGCAAAGTGTGCAGAGCAAAGAACAGAGCTAAGTGTGCAGAGCAAAGTGTGCAGAGCAAAGTGTGCAGAGCAAAGTGTGCAGAGCAAAGTGTGCAGAGCAAAGTGTGCAGAGCAAAGAGCAGAGCAAAGTGTGCAGAGCAAAGTGTGCAGAGCAAAGTGTGCAGAGCAAAGAGCAGAGCTAAGTGTGCAGAGCAAAGTGTGCAGAGCAAAGTGTGCAGAGCAAAGTGTGCAGAGCAAAGTGTGCAGAGCAAAGTGTGCAGAGCAAAGTGTGCAGAGCAAAGTGTGCAGAGCAAAGTGTGCAGAGCAAAGAGCAGAGCTAAGTGTGCAGAGCAAAGTGTGCAGAGCAAAGAGCAGAGCAAAGTGTGCAGAGCAAAGAGCAGAGCTAAGTGTGCAGAGCAAAGTGTGCAGAGCAAAGAGCAGAGCTAAGTGTGCAGAGCAAAGTGTGCAGAGCAAAGAACAGAGCTAAGTGTGCAGAGCAAAGTGTGCAGAGCAAAGTGTGCAGAGCAAAGTGTGCAGAGCAAAGTGTGCAGAGCAAAGTGTGCAGAGCAAAGAGCAGAGCAAAGTGTGCAGAGCAAAGTGTGCAGAGCAAAGTGTGCAGAGCAAAGAGCAGAGCTAAGTGTGCAGAGCAAAGTGTGCAGAGCAAAGTGTGCAGAGCAAAGTGTGCAGAGCAAAGTGTGCAGAGCAAAGTGTGCAGAGCAAAGTGTGCAGAGCAAAGTGTGCAGAGCAAAGTGTGCAGAGCAAAGAGCAGAGCAAAGTGTGCAGAGCAAAGTGTGCAGAGCAAAGAGCAGAGCAAAGTGTGCAGAGCAAAGTGTGCAGAGCAAAGAGCAGAGCTAAGTGTGCAGAGCAAAGTGTGCAGAGCAAAGTGTGCAGAGCAAAGTGTGCAGAGCAAAGTGTGCAGAGCAAAGTGTGCAGAGCAAAGAGCAGAGCAATGTGTGCAGAGCAAAGAGCAGAGCTAAGTGTGCAGAACAAAGTGTGCAGAGCAAAGAGCAGAGCTAAGTGTGCAGAGCAAAGAGCAGAGCTAAGTGTGCAGAGCAAAGTGTGCAGAGCAAAGTGTGCAGAGCAAAGAGCAGAGCAAAGTGTGCAGAGCTAAGTGTGCAGAGCTAAGTGTGCAGAGCTAAGTGTGCAGAGCTAAGTGTGCAGAGCTAAGTGTGCAGAGCAAAGTGTGCAGAGCAAGCTACAGGGAACCATGAAGGACCCACTGCGTACACGCGAGTTCATAGAGGCAACCAACCTGGTGGTCCGACCTGAGCATTCAAAACCAAATGCAAAGAAGAAGAAGAGGAAGAATCAAATAATAGCTAAAGGCTCCTGGTGAAACATCTGAGCTACTCCATTTCAGCTGCAGATATTACACATACACACATACACATGCACACACACACAGAAGTATACAGACCTGTAAAGGTCGTGATCAATCCTCCTGTTCAGCGTTTGTCTCTGAAGCCTGTCAATCCAGGAGGGGAAGTATTTCAACAAATACACAGCCGGACGTTTTATAAACAACATATCCACTGGATATCCATGGTAAGAAACGCGGTTAAAAATCCATGTACCCCTTCTGGTACTGAGAAAAACCTATTGCACCAACAACAACAAAACACAAAAAGAGTATCACTGAAATGTCAGCTGTGATTTTTATAAACACATTTCTGATCATATAAAAAGCATGTTAGATAATATATTGTTTGGTATTGTGTCAGTTGAATGATTGAAAAACATGTAGGAGAGAAAGATTACTTAATTAAGGAATGACTGAGAATGATCAGTCTTGTTTTGGGATCCAGGAATGATGTGCCTGTTGGCATGGAGAGATTGAGTGATGAATGAATAGAACCACAAGCGAATGACTGAATTATATTTGGTTGTGAGTTCCGAGGCAAAAGCTGGCAACCTGTTTGGTCTGACATTTCTGGTCAAGGCAAAGTAGACATTCTCTATGATATTCAACACTGAGGGAAAAACATAGACAGATATTCAACACTGAGGGAAAAACATAGACAGATATTCAACACTGAGGGAAAAACATAGACAGATATTCAACACTGAGGAAAAAACATAGACGGATATTCAACACTGAGGGAAAAACATAGACAGATACTTAACACTGAGGGAAAAACATAGACAGATATTCAACACTGAAAGGGAAAACATAGACAGATATTCAACACTGAGGGAAAAACATAGACAGATACTTAACATTGAGGGAAAAACATAGATATTCAACACTAAGGGAAAAACATAAGACAGATATTCAACACTGAGTGAAAAACATAAGACAGATATTCAACACTGAGGGAAAAACATAAGACAGATATTCAACACTGAGGGAAAAACATAAGACAGATATTCAACACTGAGGAAAAAACATAAGACAGATATTCAACACTGAGGGGAAAACATTGACAGATATTCAACACTGAGGGGAAAACATAGACAGATATTCAACACTGAGGGGAAAACATTGACAGATTTTCAACACTGAGGGAAAAACATAGACAGATATTCAACATTGAGGAAAAAACATAGACGGATATTCAACACTGAGGGAAAAACATAGACAGATACTTAACACTGAGGGAAAAACATAGACAGATATTCAACACTGAAAGGGAAAACATAGACAGATATTCAACACTGAGGGAAAAACATAGACAGATACTTAACATTGAGGGAAAAACATAGATATTCAACACTAAGGGAAAAACATAAGACAGATATTCAACACTGAGGGAAAAACATAAGACAGATATTCAACACTGAGGGAAAAACATAAGACAGATATTCAACACTGAGGGAAAAACATAAGACAGATATTCAACACTGAGGAAAAAACATAAGACAGATATTCAACACTGAGGGGAAAACATTGACAGATATTCAACACAGAGGGGAAAACATAGACAGATATTCAACACTGAGGGGAAAACATTGACAGATATTCAACACTGAGGGAAAAACATAGACAGATATTCAACACTGAGGGGAAAACATAGACAGATATTCAACACTGAGGGAAAAACATAGACGGATATTCAACACTGAGGGAAAAACATAGATGGACTTGTTATCAAGGTTTGACTATTAGCATGTCAACTCTTGGTTGGCTACTGAGATGGTGCGGGATTATGTTGTGTAAATTCACCTAGAGAGATTCGATTACTGTTTGTCTGATTTGTTCTCAGTATGTTTGCCAGAAAACATCTTATACAAAGCGTATTCATTCCAAGTCTATGCTACTAGTGCCATTCATGGTAACAAGAGACCATACAGGAAAATTAGCGAGACAATCAAACATTATGGGACAATGTCACTCAACACCATTTTGTTGATTTGTAAACACTTCATGCTGTCACGTGTGATTCAAAAGCAAAATTAGCTGTCTTCACAATTCAGTTGATACCTGGAGCCTGAACTTTATGACAAAACATTTTACAGAATAGCTGTGTGTTTGATGAAACTGCACAAAGTTAAGCTGTGCAGGCTCTAACCCTTTCCTTGCATGACCAGTGATGTAGAGAGGAGCTACCTGCTGCCTGGGCAACCTCTACTTCAACAAGCCCATGCCTGTGCCCTGGCAGAGATTACGGACTGTCACAGTTTGCAAGAGACCAGATGAAGAAAGCTATAAGACAGAAACCAGCCTCAGTATAATAAGAGTATCAATGTTTTTATGTGGATAATGTGGCTGGACTGCTTCTTCCGCACTGGATTTAACAGTGATAGCAGAGGCTGTACCCAAAACCATCTGCACAACTCCATGGTTCCTAGAGACTGATGGTTGCTTGCTGTTCATTCACATTGGGCTACAACCTGGTAATATATATTGAATGTTGAGTGTTGAAATAATAATCATAGCACTCCCATAAGCGCTCTGTCTCAATCTTCAGCAGCAAATAAAGAATTCCAATTCCGATGGCACCAGTTACTGTCTGATTGTATATCTCCTCACCCTTCCCTTGAGTACTGAGCATCGGCTAGATCCACTGTAACTCCCCGCAGCACCATTTCCCCTCAGACCGAAATGATCTGTTTGCGCTTCCACACGGTTCACTTGCTCCTGGTAATAGTGTGACGATAAAATAAGAAGAAATAAATAAATAAACAGACAAAGAGTCACCTGTGAAGCTCTTCTGCTAAGTTCGACAGCCGCGTCTCCCCCTGAGTTACCTATGCCAATGACCACAATTCTTTTGCCATCTAGGCCATCTGGTTTACGATAATCGTGTGAATGTAACACCTGCAAGAATAATTAATTATGATAACACCAGACAGGTAAACAATCTGCAGGCAAAGTTCAGTCTGAATATACTTTTAGTAGGGTGAAAGGGTGGATGAGCAGGTGAATGAGTTAGTGAATGAATGGATGGATCTGAGTGTAAGTTGTATCAGTGGATAAGTGGGTGGATGGATGCATGGATGAGTGAACTAATGGATAAACTTCAGGATTTGAAAGAGATATAATGTTCTGCTTCTTGCTTTTATGGCTGTCTCAACCTAAAACACAGTGTGCTACTGTAATTAAGAATTGGCTCTGTGCTGAGTTTTTCTCTTTCAACTTCATTCGTTTTTTTCTTTTTCTTCTGGTCACTTCTGCTGCTTTTCTCAGACATCTTTATTGCAAAGTTACTAATGTAGGGTTGTGTCTTTGTATATGTAGAAGATTTAAAGCACATCATAAAGTATAGTGCAGTTAATTTGATATTGTAATACTAGCTAATTTAAAGCAGGTATTCATTATTTAGTGTTGAGTAATTCAACAAGTTTACAGTTGAATGAATAGAGACTACTCATTGTAGTATTCAAAGTGGAATGAACAGAGAAAACAAATGGATGGACAAACATACACATACCTGTCCCTTAAAATCATTTAACCCTGGAAAAGTTGGCACATGTTTATCAGCGTGATGGCCGGAGCACACAAGAACCCCATCAAACTCCTCCACTTTCTCCTCGTCTGTCTTCCTGTTCCTACGTTTGATCTCCCACTTGCCACTGCTGGCGTAGTCTTCTGCTTTCCTGACATACAAGACTTCCTCGTGGTAGTTGATGTACTTCTCTAAATCAAAGTGTTCTGCATACAATTTGAAATACTCGTACACCTGGCAGGGACAAGAAGACATTCAAATGATTAAAACCTTTCCTGTGTGGTTTCTGGAGCCAATGAAAAGTCTGCATGCTAATAATACCAGCTGCAACCTGACTAAAAAGTCTGCTTTTGTTCTCCGCCCCCCCCCCCTCCCCAATCCTCAGTGATTCTTACCTTCCAGAATGTCTACTCACTACTCAAAGTCCATTGAATAAGTCTTCCAGTATATGGATTCACTGTCTGTCCTATTGCACAGCCCCAGTGATCACAGATAGCCTTTTCTGCTTTATCATTTAATAGTTCGCCACCAAGAGCAACAATATATGAGGAATGGTTGAACAAGAACAACAATTCTGCTCAACAGCTCAAGGCAGAGGACGACAAAACAAGAGTTGAAATATTACAAAATGATCTAGCTACCTAAACATTACAAGTTAAGAAAGACTAAGAAGATTCTAAAAACAAATAAAACTAAAGTAGATGATAAGCTGCTAGGTATAAACATGAATTTCTTTAATGTGTTTATTTTTTTAAAATGTTTCTCATTGAATTTCTTATATAACAAACAGACAAAACAGGAGAGAGAAAATTTTAAGAATCAATAGCCAGTAGTTACCTGGGTATTGTGCATGAAGACCGGGTATTTCTCTGGAATGATAAAGTCGCTGTAAGACATCATTTCCTTGCTGGTGTTGATCACGGTGGACTTCATCACACATCCCTGACCTTCAATAGGTTCATCTGTGTAACGCCACAGGCCACCTAAACCATCCGTCCTCTCAAAGCAGACAGGGGTCAGACCTTCGTCCAGGCAGGCTTTAATGGCGGGCAGCCCACTGGCTCCTGCTCCAATGATGGCTACTCTTTTAGATCCCATTGTAGTTTTCCTTGGTCAGTGATTGGGTATGATCTTAAATGACTAATGGGACACAATAAGTATGCTTTTTAGTTAGAGTTTTCTAAGGGGATCCACCTGCAACAACAGAGAGAAATAGTGATAAACAAATTAGTGCATGAGTGATAAATCAATTAGAGTGAAAGTGATAAATCTAGTCTTGCATGAGTATTAGTGATAAAACCAGTAGTATAATAGTGATAAGCACTCTTCTGAATACTGGTCCCAAAAATTTCACTGTTAAAAAAATGCTGTTCAGGGCCTCAAGAGGTCATATAATTAAAAATATGGAATAGGAACAGTATAAACTATGCTTCGCCTTATTACATAATTTCACTTCAATCAAATTCTTGAGTTGTTTTTTTTTTTGCCCCTCAAAAAGGCGGTTGGTACGTTGTAATGTGGTTTACAGCTAGGCTGGTGCATTTGCGCCTTTTGCTCGGTGTTGTGGTTTACAGCTAGGCTGCGACAGTGGTGGCGGAATGCTCAATGGTTATGTCATGTCACAGTAATATTCTGTCTTTTTGTTCACCCTTGAAATAGTGGTTGGCACATTGTGTTGTCCTTTTCAGCTAGGCTGGGAAATCTGGGCCTTTTGCTCGGTCTTGTGGTTTACAGCTAGGCTGTGATAGTGGTGGTGGGATGCTAAATGGTTATGTCATGGGTAGGTAATCTTCTGTCTTTTCATTCACCCTTGACAGAGTGGTTGACATGTTGTGCATGCAGGCAGGCGGGCAGACAGACAGACAGACAGACAGACAGACAGACAGACAGACAGACAGACAGACAGACATACTTACATACATACGATTATACAAGCATACAGACATACATACATACAATTATACACACATACAGACTCACAAATCAGATCAAGTGGTTTGCCCACTCATAGAGAATGCCTTGCCATAACATACAGGGCATACACTAAAAGAGAAAAAGGGCGTAGATCATGATGTAGACCAAGAACAAGATGGAAAGATAACATCAGAGAAACTCTACAGTAGCACCATGTGTCTATGGTCAAGGCAGCCAGAAGAGCAAGAAGCAGAACCTTGTATCTCCCTCCACACCTACACCCAAGTGGTAACCCACATCAGGTGGGACACACACCTTGTATCTCCCTCCACACCTACACCCAAGTGGTAACCCACATCAGGTGGGACACACACCTTGTATCTCCCTCCACACCTACACCCAAGTGGTAACCCACATCAGGTGGGACACACACCTTGTATCTGCCTCCACACCTACACCCAAGTGGTAACCCACATCAGGTGGACACACACACCTTGTATCTCCCTCCACACCTACACCCAAGTGGCCACATCAGGGGGGACACACACCTTGTATCTGCCTCCACACCTACACCCAAGTGGTAACCCACATCAGGTGGGACACACACCTTGTATCTCCCTCCACACCTACACCCAAGTGGTAACCCACATCAGGTGGGACACACACCTTGTATCTCCCTCCACACCTACACCCAAGTGGTAACCCACATCAGGTGGAACACACATGATAGGTTATGGGTTGGAGTGGTTCGGTGGGTGATAATAATGACTGTGAGGGTCAAAGTTTTTTTGGGTCTCTCTTGTTATCAGTAAAGAAGGTATACAGGTTTTCATTAATGGAATGGATGATTGAATAGTCGACCCTGTTGTGCATTTCTCTTTTATTCTGGTCAATGGTTTTGCTGTAGTTCAGACAGAGGTGGCCTTTTTAAGTGTGGAAAGTGCTGATAAATCCTTTGGGGATAAATGTCAAATGCAAGCAATTTTGTAGAAAATTATGTTGTGATGTATTACTGTTTTTTTTTTTTTTTCTTCCTTGGAGAAGGCGAAAGCTAGATTTTTGATGGCCAAAGACTACCGTGAGAGTTTATATTGAAGAAAATCTTGAAACTGGGTCAGGCCCAAATTGTCTTTTTCACATGAATCCTAACCATCGTGTAGTGTGTGCAGCTCTATTTTACTGTCAGAGCATACTAAAGAAATCTGGCTTCGTTATTGGCTGCTTTCATTGCGTAATTTGCTTATCTGAAAATTATGCACTTATGACTTTTTATAACAGTCTCTGATTTCATTTAAATAATCCGAGTTATAAAACAATAATAAAAATAAAACATTTTTTTTTGTGTATTAAATATTATCACAAGAAATGGAAACAATACTCACGTAACCGTGTGTAACAAACTGAAACACGGCGATTATTTCATCTGTTATTTAAATGTTAAAGTATTGTGGAACTTTGGGATAGTTTTCTCTCGTCTGACAGTACCTGAAGTCTTGATACTGTTTGAATAATTTAATCAGTACCCGGAGGCAATTATATTATTTTTGAATTTGCATCGATTCCGCAACAACTGTGGAGTTACTTATTTGGTAATGTACAAGCTCAGGACGTTGGAGAGACATTACAAGCCAAAATGATTAAAATAATACGGCCAAAATACGGCGATCTCTAGGCCGGTACACCACATAGCCACACTTATTGCCGCGACCCCCTAACAAGTCCTTCAGCTCCTTGACAACTGGGTGGTTCGTAATAACTAGGCCATCGGGACGTCTCAATCTTCAAGATCTGAATTCTACAAAAACCTAACAAAATTACCGGTTACTCAGTAACTTACTGTGTGGATAAGTTAACAACAATTGCCACTGAACAAGTAGATCGTACCATCACTGCCTTGAGACAATTTTCACCAGATTACCAGAATTTTCACCAATGGTATGTGCCTTCACAAATCTAGAAAGCCTGAGAAAGGGGTCAAAGGAGGTCACGGGTACACAGCCAGCAACTGACCAAAAAGTAGGTCACAGGTAAGCAACAGCTGACATATCAGAATGGATAGGCCACAAAATACCGATACACATGATTTGGTTACGTTTGAAAATGGGTTATCACACAGCCACCTGTAAGATGGAGGAGGCCTGGTTATCATCGGCAACACTGTGCAGAAAAACATCCTATCTGTTAACTCATTTGGACAGAACCAATGTGCCATGTGTGCCTGCCCCCTTTTCCTTAGTAGTAGTAGTACATTCTACCCCACTAGGACATCACACAAGCGATAAACACCCGATGACATAAAGTGCTACCATGTGGACGAGGATCACCTGTGGAGAGGTCCCGGAATCCGCGTTCAGCCATTAGACCATATTTATGGCCGGGCTATATTGCGGCCCCTGACATGAGCCAGGTTGGGGCATCAACATAATGAAAAATTGCATCCCACAGGGTAATGACTAGTTATATATGACAATTTACCTGAAGTCACAACCATCAAACTTTCTTGTGCTTCTGCACAAAATGTTGAACACAACGTTGAACATAGATGATTTCAAGAGGTAGGATGATTTGAGAGAAATGTCTGTACAACCACAGGTAACAACAGTTATAAAACAAAGAATGTGGCTCTGTATTGAAAACATCATGAGAGAAAACTAGCAAACAGTCACCAAACAGGCAGCGAAATGGGAAATACAAGAGAGAGGTCAAAGGTCATGGACTGGATTCCGTTGATGACATCGAAGGGATCGCACAGGATATATCGAAGTTGAGGAATAGATTAGGAGCCCAATGTGACATATAATGGCACAAAAGGACAATCAATGATGATGAAAGTTATCACACGCGTGTTCGAAAGCTTGAACATTTACGCTTTAGTACAATGCTGAAAAGGGAGCCACGCTAGTGTAGTGGCTAGATACACTCTCTTGATGGCCCCCAGGTCTAGGGAGCCACGCTAGTGTAGTGGGTAGACGCTCTCTTGATGGCCCCCAGGTCTAGGGAGCCACGCTAGTGTAGTGGCTAGACGCTCTCTTGATGGCCCCCAGGTCTAGGGAGCCACGCTAGTGTAGTGGCTAGACGCTCTCTTGATGGGCCCAGGTCTAGGGTCCCAGTTCCAGTAGCGACAGATTTTGCTTCTCGAAATTGACTTCTTCTCGCAGGTGAACCCTACATAAAATGAGTACTAAGTAATGTCCTGGAACATAAAGGCGACCGGAGTGACGTTTCCCGCATTTCACATCTAGCGCCGAATAGTCTAAAAATATAGGTCTATTATCTTTCTTTCTTTCTTTTCTCTTTCTTTCTTTCTTTCTTTCTTTCTTTCTTTCTTTCTTTCTTTCTTTCTTTCTTTCTTTCTTTCTTTTCTTTCTTTCTTTCCTTTTCTTTCTTTCTTTCTTTCTTCTTTCATTTCTTTCTTTCTTTCTTTCTTTCTTTCTTTCTTCTTCTTTCTTTCTTTCTTTCTTTCTTTCTTTCTTTCTTTCTAGGGACTGCTTCTTCATGGCCTCTTTTCTTTCTTCTCTCTGTCTTTCTGTCTTTCTTTCTTTTCTTTCTTCTGGCTTCTCTTTCTTTCTTTCTTTCTTTCTTTCTTTTCTTTCTTTCTTTCTTTCTTTCTTTCAGGGTCTTTCTTCTTTCTTTCTTCTTTCTTTCTTTCTTTCTTCTTTCTTTCTTTCTTTTTCTTTCTAGGGAGCCACGTAGTTATTTCTTTCTTTCTTCTTCCTCTTCTAGTTGCCCCCTTCCCCCCCCCCCAGTAGCGACCCCCCCCCCAACCACCACTATCCCTAGCAGACAGCGGCTGGGAAATGACACCTGTGTGGCTTACGATACCAATGATGACTTCCAGGCTGCCCCTGAAACAACTGCAGCAGTTACCATGATGACGTATGGGGTATTAGTACCTCATCAATTTCCAAAGAGATCTCCTATAAAAACACTCAACTCTTAGTCCCTAAATATATTACATTTTCTCGTCCGCATTAGGATGACATTTTTCGTTATTTGAAGCCCTACTCTGGATCTTTCCAGGGGCCGCAATATAGCCTGGCCATAAATATGGCTTAAAGGCTGAACGCGGTTTCTGGGACCTCTCCACGGTGATCCTCACCCACATGGTGGCACATTGTGTCTTCGGGTGTTTATCGCATGTGTGATGTCAGGGTGGGGTAGAAAGTCAGTCAGTCCCTAAATTC